TGGGACATACCACCCTGGCCCCCAAGTAGGGAGGTTTACAGATTGCCCTGTGAAGGGGATCTGGGACGTGTTGGAGTGGGAGTAACTGGAGGGCATGTCTCTCAGAGGGGGGAATGATTTCTGGGGTCTTCCGTGGACTGTTTTACTTGCAAGTAGGGCCAGGCCAAAGTCAGGAGCCAGAAACTCCATCCAACTGTCCCAGTGTCAATGGGAAGGACTCAGACTTGGGCTTCCACCATCAGTTGCTTCCCAGGCACACCAGCAAGGGGCTGGACTGGAAGTGGTGTAGCTGGGATTTGGACAGAGGAGAATGGAGGGTTGGGGAAACACCACAGCAGGAGGTCAGAGATAGGGAGGGGAGAGGTTGGGATATTTATTCTCCGATGGCTTCTTGTGGAACATGGAGATCATGATGGTTCTGTTCCTCCACTGAAGGCCAAGGTTGATGGACAGCTCCCTCAAGCAGCACCTGGGGCTCTGTCCCCACGTGGGTCCCAACTCCTGCCTGCTCCGGCTGAGATTCTTTCAGCTGACAGCTGCCTTCAGCCAGCCCCAAAGCGCTCTCCTGCTGTTTTTTGGTTTTCCTTGGCCCTGCCTGCTTTATCAGACAGTTCCCTGGCTCAGTCCTTCTGAGGTACTCCTTAGTCGGTTCAGAGCCCTTTGTCAATAACCTATGGTATCCTGTTATCTATTAAAATTCTGAATATAAAAATAGGGCCGGCATAGTAGCCTGGTGGCTACGGTGCTTGCCTTCAAAGCGCTGGGATCCCATATGGGCACTGGTTCTAATCCTGGCAGCTCCACTTCCCATCCAACTCCCTGCTTGTGGCCTGGGGAAGCAGTTGAGGACAACCCAAGGCATTGGGACCCTGCACCCATGTAGGAGACCAGGAAGAAGTTCCTGACTCTTGATTCAGATCGGCACAGCACTGGCCGTTGCAGTCACTTGGAGGGTGAATCATCAGATGGAAGATCTTCCTCTCTGCCTCTCCTCCTCTCTGTATATCTGACTTTCCAATGAAAATAAATAAACCTTAAAAAATTATTTTAATTCAAAAATAAATAAATAAATTTTTGAATATATACCCGTTTAGATATAAATATATAAAAATATATTATTTATAATATATTATATATTATTTATATATATTGTTGAAAGGAGCTGGACTTGAAGTGGAACAATTGGGACTTGAACTAGACCTATATGGATGTCAGTGTCACAGATAATGGTTTTACCCATATACCACACAGCCAGCCGCAAGAATCTAATCCTTGTACAAAGAGCTGCCATGCAGAGACTTAGTTTATTCTCTAGGGGACGTTACATGTTTGATTCTTGGCACTGTTCCATGAAAAAATACCTGTCTTGAAGCAGTTCCATTACCAAACCCCCAAGCACTTCTTTTCTTAATTTTCTACCAACTTACTTCTGTATTTGAAAGATAGAATAGCAGAGAAATATTCCATCCACAACAGCCAAGATTAGGCTAGACCAAACACAGTGGCCTAGAACTCCATTACCCAGCTGTTATCTGGGAGGGGCAGTGGGATTTGAGTCAGTACTCTGATGTCGCAAACGCAGCTTCGCTCATGGTGCCACATGGAATATGTCTAAACTTACGAAGATGTCAGATGTCTCCTGGGGTGAGTAACCATGTAGGTAAATATTGGAGTTGCTAATCTGAAATTCCAGGCAGCTTAGGAACGTGTATGCACCAGCAAAGAGATCCAAAACACAGTTTTAACAGAGTCGGGGAGGGGTGGGGGGTTAAAGGAGGAGGAGACTGTAGGTGAATCTGCAATGCAAGTTTTATTTAAAAAAACACAAAAGACAAAACACAGGGACATTCCTCACCAGCTTGTCTCAGATGGTTTTTACAGTCAAGGAACACTGTTGTCTTACCCTCAGTGACCTCGGGGCCTGCTGGCAGGGCTTAAACCCTGACAATACACATTGCTTCCAGAATGGGTTTATCCTGGGATGTACGGTAACTGTGTAATGGAGACTATCACATCCAGATGTGAGGATACAATACAGTATGTATCTTTACTTCCAGACCAAAGATAGACTCCCATGAAGCTATTAATTATATCTAAACAACAGGATGCAGGACTTTCTGCCATTGTCCATGCTCACAATGATGGACTGTTTATGAAGAACTGTAGTATTGTAATAATATAGGGAAAAGTCAGTGAGAGGAGTGGAGTCTTGGGGAGGGATAAGGGGAATTCCAAAGCCTATGGAACTGTATCACAAAATAATAATAAAATGGGGAAAAATGAAAAAAAAAAAAACAGGTGTGTTTGGATGATAGCTAGGTTTGTTTAGAAAACATGAAGTAATCTATGGGAGGAGACAAGACTTAGAGAGATAAAACTTGTTTGTCATAAAATTAGAATCCTAAGCTTGATGGAGAGATGTGTCTTAAACTCAGATCAGATAAAGTGAGGAGAGAATCAAGAAAATGGACTCGATTAATTGTGACTGAGAGCACCAAGGAATGTTCATGGAAGAGCTAGCCTTGTAGCTGGCCCTTGAAGGTATGTGTGAGAGTGTGAGGTGTGGATAGACACAGAATCTGCTTGGAGCAAATACCTACCTGAATTTCAATGGAGTTGACTTATACATGCATCAGTGAAGCCCTGTTGGTAAGAAAGAAGCACACACACACACACACACACACACACACACGGTAATTCATGAAAAATAGATTTTCAACACACCCATTCTCCACAAATTTTTTTAATATCCCTCTTGTATGAGGGAACATTAAAAAGTGTATGGAAAAGGTAATTAAAAGATGACTGTTTTGGTACAGAGCCACTTGGCTTTCTTGCATTGTTTTTTTTCACGAAGCACATTTTCATGCACTTATTAAAAATTTCTCATGTGCATAGATTTTTAGAAGATTTATATTTTATTACAAAGTCAGATATATAGAGAGGAGGAGAGACAGGAAGATCTTCTGTGTGATGATTCACTCTCCAAGTGAGCGCAACGGCTGGTGCTGTGCCAATCCAAAGTGGGGACCAGGAACCTCTTCTGGGTCTCCCACGCGGGTGCAGGGTCCCAAGGCTTTGGGCCATCTTTGACTGCTTTCCCAGGTCACAGGCAGGGAGCTGGATGGGAAGTGGAGCTGCCGGAATATGAACCAGTGACCTTATAGGATCTTGGCACATGCAAGGCAAGGATTTAGCCACTAAGCCATTGTGCCAGGCTGGCAATTCCTTTTAGTTTTCTTCTTTTTTGATTCTTTTGGCCAAGTAAGGGAAACCTATTGAGAACGCTATTGGCTTTTTCTATTTTTGTTGACCTCCCATAAGTGAGTAAGCTCACACCGTGTTGAATATCATTTCAGGGGAGTGACACGTGGGTTCTCCAGAGAGAATGTTTCCTTTAGAGCATGTATCATGAGCTAGCACAGTCTGTATTTTTCAACTGGGTAAGGACCCCAAGGTTGATGTCCCCAAAATCCATCTTTTATAGCATCTTCTGCATTTACTGATAATGGGGAGGAGCGGGGGTGAGTGGGAAAGGAGGGTACATTCTGGTTTACCAGCAAGACGTGTCCCAACAGAAGACAAACGAGCCTCCTTGTCTTGGTTCCTGTCCAGTCCAGTGTACTCGCTCCTTGATTATCCAGCTGCACGAGTAGAAAGAACAAAGGAATCTGTCAGGTAAAAAAAAGAAGCCAACTGGATTTGTGACCGCGGTTGTGAAATACCAGTTAGAAGAGCCCATAGTACTGCAGGTATTGAACTATACTCAACCTAACTGTCAACACGTGTGTGCGTGTGCGTTGGTCGGAAACAAAATGCTTTGCAAACAAAGAAAGAAGAAACAAGTTCTTTCCGGTGGATATTCGGGTAGTAGTAGGTTATTTCCAGCTGCTTCTAGCTTGGTGCAGCCTAAAAAGTCAAGGTCAGCACCTTGCTAAGGAATCCCTGAGGGCTTGTCCGCCCCTGGCCTTGTAGCCTGAGGTAGTGTTTGGCAAGTGAGTGAAGTGTCCCAGTGTCTCCTGCGACGGGGCCAGCAATATCCTTATTCTTCCCGACTGGGAGCAAGGGACAGGGCGGGAAGGGGCAGGATCTTTTCCGGGTAGGATCGGCGGGGAAAAGACCGCCGCCGTCCGTTGTCCCTCCTCTGAACCAAGGTGTCTCTGTTGCTCCACAAATAAACCTTCGCTGCCTTCCTGCTAAGCTCTATAAATAAAGGCAGTGAAGCGGCGGTCCCCGGGCCATTCCGGGCGGGGCCGAGTACACGCAGGTGAGTTCGCCGCCAGGATGCCGCTCGGTCCACCCCGCCTTGGCGGATCTCCAGGGCAGGCTGCAAGCTCGCGGACGGGACTAGCTAGGGAGGGATCGTGCAGCTTTTGGGCAGCTCAGCGCTAGGAGGAAGCTAGGGACCGCGGGGAAGAGCTGCTCCACCTGCTTAGAGTTCTGACTTTGTGAGATTCGTGCCTCGCCACCGGAATTTCCCCGCTGCGAAGGCAACGTGGGACCCAAGGGCAAGCCCTGAGGTTCCCATGCTGGATCCCAAGTACGGAGCCTTCCCCTCCATCCCCATCCCCTAACCCGTGCGTGCCTGGAGCTGCACTTAGGCCGGGCGCCTGCAAGCACAGACGCTAGCCAAGTTCCCTTTCCTTTTCTTCTCCCTCCTGGCCTGGGTTTGGGGAGATTTCAGGACGCGGACAGCGCCCTGGCTGAGGGCCGAGGGTCTTGAATCGTGCTTCTGAAGCCCCCCAGAGCCAAAGCTTACTCCTCCCAGTTGCAAAGTGGAGCCCCGGGCTGCAAGTGCAGCCCACCGGACACGAAAAACCTCGGGTGCCCAGCTGTCGCGCTGTGGGACTCTGTGCCCTGAGCGCCCTGAGCCTGTAGGGCAGGCGTCCCGGACCCACAGGTGTCGGCAGGGACGGCCGTTCGCCTCCTGCTCGTTGGCTGTCCTCGGATTGGTCTCGCTCGCTGCGTCAATTGCTCCCTCAGTGTCCTTGGGTTCGCAGGTCATGGCCGCGCCAGGCGACAAGTCGGAGCCGCCGCAGCTCTCCGAGTACCACTGCAACTACGTGGTTTCACGCCCGGTCTACAGCGAACTTGCCTTTCAGCAGAAGCATGAGCGGCGCCTGCAGGAGCGCAGGACACTGCGGGAGAGTCTGGCCAAGAGTTGCAGGTAGCAGGCGTCGGGTGTCGGTGCACCTGGGGTTGGGGGGCACACGCAGCTTTTGTGCGAGGTGAGATTCTGGGTCTCCAAGATCGCTGGGCCTTCCGGGTCCTAAGGTGGCTGCGTCGCTCTCGGGGCCTGAGTTATTCCAACTTTTACTTGCCTGGGAAACACACTTTTTGGGGGTGCAGGATGATGATGGGAAGGATGGGTTCCCGGAGCCCCACTGCCATGGAGAGAATTGTGGAGTGAGGAGGGTGGCACCGTGGGATATAGATGGTCCCCACTGTCTACTTGTGAAGGCTGGGGCTGGAGGAGGAAGCCAGGCCGGTTTTGAAGAGATGGTGGGTAAACTCCATGACCTGCCCAGGAGTCTTTGACATCTTCAAGCTGCTGTACGCAGGAGGCCTTGCTCTTGGGTTGTCAACAGGCTGGAAGCTAGGATACAAGAGGGCCCAGAAGAGCACCACGCACCTTGCCAGGAGGCAGTAGCAGCCCTTAAGAGCCACCAGGCCCCACACCCAGGATTGGATGGCACAAGGCGTTAAGGAAGTCACCCACCTGCCAGCGGTGGTTTGTTTTTTAAATCCCTTTTATTTAGGAACATGGTTTAACTATACAGAAGTAGACATGAGAGTGACAGGAGCTAGCGGTGGCGGTTCGTCTCCATCACATACATGCCCTTCCAGTGTGCCGTAGGAGGAAGTTCCATATGCTGGCTCCGTCGGTGCAGCGGCCCTCTGTAGGCTCTGGGATGTTGTTTTGGGGAGCCTGGCCAACAAAGAGGTCTGTGCCTGTTTCATACAGGTGCAACGTTTGTTCTGAATATTTTCAATCTGAAGTTGGTTGAATTCATGCAGGTGGAACCCCTGGAAAAACAAGTCCCATGATCTGTAGTTAAAAACTTCGTGTGTGTGTGGGGGGGAATGTGACCGTATTGTCTTATCCACAAAGTGGTTAATAGTCCTTAATATCAAACATTGAATCCTCATTAAGATTTCTAATGATCTCACTGGTACTGTAATTTTATAAGAGCGATTTCTTTGAATCTGGAGTCCACTAACATCCTGCTAGTGTCGATGTATATGTATTTTTATCTGTAGGTTGTTGAATTTAAAATACTAGTAGCATGGTATGCATTGTATAAGATGTCTGTAAGAATAAAAAGAAACAAAACTGGCTTCCAAGCTTGCATTATCAAGATACACAGAGTGTATATTGATTTTTCTTTAAAGAAAACGATAGCATGAAGCAGGCGCCTGGGTTAGAAGTCTGAAAATTAATCTCCACTTAGAGCCTCCACGCTGATCTATCGCTGGCTGCACCAGAAAACAGGTTCTTGTGTTGGGATAATTTCTCAGAGGATTAGTAAGGCAGAAGTGGGGAGGGGATACTTAATCCTGTGTTTTCGAGTACAGTGAGTGCATTTAATAGGATGGCTGTGGGTCTTGGCACAAGCCTGGTAAGCACATCGGTGTAACTATTTTTCCATGAGATTCTCACTTGTTTTCCAAAAGAGACTTCAGCTCGTAACTTTGGGATCCACGGTTGATAATGATCAAGACTGGATTGGAACCCTGCTGCTATTTTCCTTTTTTGGACAGTTGTTCCAGAAAGAAAGCCTTTGGTATGCTGAAGACTCTCCTGCCTGTCTTTGAGTGGCTCCCCAAATATCGTGTCAAGGACTGGCTGCTGAGTGACATCATTTCCGGCATCAGTACCGGGCTGGTGGCCACGCTGCAAGGTAAGAAAATGCTGATAGACTGGCTGCCAAGGGCTGAGAGCTGTGGTCTGCAGGGCAGTTCCTCATTTCCTGCTGGTCTGTTCTACGTGCTGGCGCAGCCTCGAGGCATTCATCTCGCCTCTAGAGCCCCTTAGTGGAGAGCCTCGGCTCCTTCCACTCCACTGCCTCTCTAGCTGTACCACTCCAATGTGCTTCTCTACTTGTGGGCCACAACTCACAATAAGTGTAGAGGGCCAGCGTCATGGCACGGTAGGTTAAGCTGCTGCTTGTAGATCCCTGTATGAGCAATGGTTTGAGTCCAGGCTACCGTACTTGCAATGCAGGCCCCTGCTTATGCACATGGGAGAGTAGCAGAGGATGGCCAAATATCTGGGTCCCATTGGAGACCTGGCTGAAGCTCTTGACCCTGGCTTCTGCCTGGCCAGTTCCTAACCATCATGGTCATCTGGTGAATACACAAGCAGATGGAAGATCTCTGTGTGTGCCTCCCTCTTTCTTTGTGACTTTAGCTGCAAACAAGCAAATATGTATTTTTTGAAAATACGAAAATATGTGTTACATCATGATCTGTATTTGATTTTTTTAAAAAAAAGATGTATGTGTTTGGCCGGTAGAGTGATAGAGAAGCGAAATCTTCCATTGTTAGTTTATTCCCCAAATGGCCTCAGTGGCTGGGAGTGGTTCAGGCTGAAGCCAGGAGCCAGTAATTCCATTCTATTCTGCCTCCTAGGTGACAGCAGTCCAGGTTCTGGCATAATTTGCTGCTTTTCCAGGCACAATTACAGGAGGAGGGACTGAAAGTAGAGCAGTAGCTGGGCGCTGAGCTGCTGCTCCAATGTAGGATGTAAGGGTTGCAAGTAGCAGCTCAACTCATTGAGCCGCAATGCTGGCCCCCTACTCCCACCAATTACCCATCCTCTTATTTCAATCTGCTAGAGAAATATAGGTAGTTATTTTTTTCCAAGCTGGACTTATACCATAGTATTTTCCCTCCTCTCTGTCCTGCTGGATTCCCCAAAGCCTTTCAGACACAACAACAGACATCTTGATTTATTGTCCTTTGATGGAGCATCTGCCATGTGCCTGGCAGTAGGAATCCTGTGGCTGAGCAAATGGCATCACTTGTTGCCAAGGAACTAGCAGTCCCATGGAGAAGGGTTGTGGCCAGGGTAACACTGCCTGCTAAGGGGCTGCAAATAACGGGGCTAGCAATAGCTTCCTGGAAGCTGAGTTGTCCAATCTGAGTTTCCTGGAGATGCCCGAGTTTGTCCAGTGATGGGAAGTATGGTGGGGGCGGGGATATGTGTAGAAAGACAACTTAGAAATAAATTATCTCGGTAGTTGACAGTCAATGTTGAGAAATATTGTGAGTCAAAATTTGGGTCTGGAGCACTCAGGATGACTCAGAGCAGGCCAGGTGGACTGCTACGGAGAACAGGAATGTCCTGTGGCCCCAGTGAAGTCCTTAGTCCCATAGGCAAATGGGAAGAAGTAGGGGGAACAAAGGGCTGCACAGTTAAACACTGTCAAGGGCTCTTTTGGCCTTGGCCATCACCTTTGAGCCCTGGCTGACAGCAGACACAAGTCATCCATATTGGTTTAAAAGGTGTCCAACACAGAGGTGGGTAACTAAGAGGGAGTTACAGCTGCGGTAGGGCCAGGCTAAGCCAGGAGTCTGGAACTCCTGGTCTCTCACATGAATGTGAGGGGCCCATGCACGTGGGCCATCCTCCACTGCCTTCCCAGATGAATGAGCAGAAAGCTAAAGCAGAAACAGAGCAACCAGGTCTCCAACCAGCACTGAGCTGAGAAGCCCACATTGGGTCAGGATGCCAGCCCCTACTGTGAACAGTTAATAAAGAGGACTGCCTAGCATTCAAATTACTGTTTTTTATATTAAAAACTTAGTATTTTCAGTTCTAGGTCTCCAAGTGTTGTGTCAGAATTAGTGTCATTTCATAAGTATCAGAAAATTAGTGTCATTTGATAAGTATCAGACACTACTATGCCAAGGGCTTTGATCAGTTATTGAATCTCTCAACAACCCTGTGAAGTAGTTACTATAATCTTCTTTGCAATAGATGAGAAATCTATTCAATCTTACCCAAGGTCATAGAGCTGCTAAATGATAAAATTTGAATCTGGACCTGAAGTCCAATGCCTTACTCTCTTCAGTTACATACTTTGTGGGTGGTTTTTAAAAAAATGTTGTCTCAAAATTAGCTTTGCAAGGTGAATTTTAGGGCTGGGGGAATGAATTTAACTTGTGCATTCATACATGTGTGTTATCATTCAATCTCTTAAAATGTGCTTCAGAATTAATTTTGTATGCTACTTGTTAAGACTCAGTGGTTTAACTAACAGACAGAGGGCCAGATCCCGTAGAGTAATTTGAGTGATAGAGCTGGGACTTACTTAGGCTGCTAAGCAGAAGAATGATTATATGAATACGTGTTGGTTTTCACTATGGTGATTCACATCTGTACCTGTTGGGATTAATTGGGAAAGGTTTAGTTTAGATATAATGGCCAGGAAGGTGGAACTCAGAGGCCAGGGGATAAGGAGACAATCAGATGAGAAAGCAGACGAGGGCCCAGCCAATGGCCCAGTGGCTGAATTCTCGCTGATTCATGTCCCAACTGCTCCACTTCCCATCCAGCTCCCTGCTTGTGGCCTGGAAAGCAGCAGAGGATGGCCCAAAGCCTTGGGACCCTGCACCCACATGGGAGACCTGGGGGAGTTCCTGGCTCCTGGCTTCAGAGTGGTGCAGCTCTGGCTACTGTGGCTACTTGGAAAGTAAGCCAGTGGACAGATGATCTTTCTCTCTGACTCCTTCTCTGTAAATCTGCCTTTTCAAGGCTTTGGGCCATCCTTGGCTGCTTTCCCAGGCCATAAGCAAGGAGCTGGATGGGAAATGGGGCCACTTGGATTAGAACAGGCATCCATATGGGATCCTCGTGCTTTCAAGGCGAGGACTTTAGCCACTAGGCCACTGCATTGGGTCGCAAAATATATCTAAATATATCTTAAAAACAAAACAAAACTAAACAGAAACACACACACACACACACACACACACACACACACACACACACACACACACGAGACAGAAGAGCGTCCTAAGTTAAGGCACAAAGGCCTTGGGAACAGTTTGACCCCAATACTTTCAAGAGAAGTACAGGAAGCATGCTGCGTAGGGTGGAGCACAGTGGGTGAGGATGGACTTCAAGATAAGGTCAGATAAGTTTGGGTGGGATCAGGGTGGGGCAAGGAGTAGCTAGGCTCTCAAGGAGCCTGTTCACATTATGTCCTGAACACGCCTTCTTTGCCTCACCCTAAATCCCAGCCCCAGGACAGGTGCATCTGCTTGAGCCAGGTCTGGCAGGACTTGGAGCAAACTCCAGGACCTAAAAGATATGCCCCAGAGTGCATGAAGATCACAGATAGTTCTAGGGTTGTGTGGCCTTGAGCCCCTGGGTAGAGGTTTACGCTGTTTATGAAAATGGGAGAGCTGAAGAGCAAGCTTGGGAGAGTTTGCTTGTGGCCGTAGTAAGTTGGAGTTGCCTATGAGACATCTAGACAGACAGAGGAGATAGAGAATCGGGGAATCCTGTGAAGGTGCCCATTGGAGGAAAGATCTGCACTACACAGGCAAAAAGCAGAAGCCAGGAGAGGCCTTTTATTGAGTTTTAAGAATTACTTATATATTGGAAAGGGAGATTTACAGAGAAAAGGAGATGAAAGCTCATTAATATTTTTGCAACCAATCTATTTTTACACACATAACTACCCATCAAGATACAAATGTAATGAAACACATGGAAACAGTAAGTACTGAATTCAGGATAGTGGGCTCCTGAGGCTGGAGGGAGGAAAAAGGATGTTATTGAGGAAGCTATGCTGGTGACCAGTTTATCTCTTACTTTGCATAATGGATGTGTGGGTTTATTACTTCATTCATTTTTATTTTCTATGTGTGAATCACTTCTTATTATATTAAAAACCTTCCCAGATGCGTTAGCGCATACAATGTATACGATCCCTCTGTCAGAAGTCGGGGCATACAGCCTTTGCTGCTTTGGGTTCTGATTGCTTCTCTCACGTTTTTCCCCTTTTACTTCCCATCTATTCACGTTAGTAGATGAACTTATGTACATCCATTTGGTTTTGTAGAATTGTAATACATGAAGAGTGGGCTAGTGAACCGCTTCCCTGTTCCAGTGTAGCAGTGGGCATTCATGCAATAGAGAATTGAAACGATCACAAACAATCCTTTTGTGGTGATAGAAGATTTGAAAGTTTTGGGTTTCTCTCGTGGCGAGTGAACTGTGGAGAGATGGATTAGGATGTGCTGACTTCCTACGCGTGTGTATTGAGCCTTGATAACTTCCCCTAACCCTCATGTGCCCTGCAGTGCCAGCTTCTCACCAGCTTGCTGTGTGTTGGCCCAAAGATTGCTGGCAAAGCCTCATGATGGAGCTGGCATCATCCACCAGGCCGGATTTTTCTTTCTTAGGCCCCAACTCCTTTGCCCTAGCCAGGAAGGTCAAATGGAGTGCGATGATGACTGTGCCCGTCAGAGCAAAGAACCAAACGAGGTGTCTAATACTTGGACTGACTTAACTAAGTTTACTTTACTTAAAGGTTAATTCATTAATTTATGAAAAACAGAGTGATAGAACTTTCATTCACTGATTCACTCTCCTGATGACCACAATTACCAAGACTGGGCCAGGCTGAAGCCAAGAGCCTTGCATCTTATTTGAGTCTCCCACAGGCATGATAGGGACCCGTGTACTCTGCGGAGCCTCTGCGGCTTTTCCAGATACATGAGCAGGGAGCTGGATTGAAGGCAGAGTGGCTGGGACGCTAATCCGCACTCTGGTATAAAATGTGGGTGGCTTCAACTGCTGGTCCACAACACAAGCCCCTGAATTAACCAAGTGTCTTAATAACACAACTGACTTCCCTCCACCGACTCCCGGACTCCTGCTCATAGCAGTGGATAACTGGATTACTGATCAACTGGATCCAGGTGAGCAGGTGAGGAATGTAATTAGGATCCTTATCCCAGCTAATCTGGGTTAAGGTCTGCTTGGCGGCACCGCCACAGGCGGTGTGCAGAGTCAGGATAGGATGAGGTGTTGGGGCTGTGAATAGAGGACATCTGTGATGAATAAGATTTTATGACCTCCATGTTTTGGATGTACTTTCAGGGATGGCGTATGCTCTGCTTGCGGCGGTTCCTGTTGGATATGGTCTCTACTCTGCTTTTTTCCCTATCCTGACATACTTTATTTTTGGAACATCAAGACACCTCTCAGTTGGTAATGTCAAGCCTGTTTTATAATTGCATTTGTTCATGTTTGAAGGGTACTGTGCACATCGTATTTCTACATTTGTAATATTTTGCAGGGACTTAGGACTTTAGAGCTTTGCCTAATTTTCCTATTTGATGATGTTAGTCTTATAAATAACTTTTTAGTGAAGAGAAGAAAATTGATTTGAAGACTGAAAACTGATCATTTTTAGCATGCTTTAATTTTTTAAAATGTAAGTTTGATTTCATATATAGATTTCAAAAATCTAAAGCAATAGGTGAAAAAATCTTTCTAAGGTCTTTGTAATATTTTCTTATGAGATTAATTTAGTTTTGTAAGTTACATTTGTCAAATACATATTCATTATTTCATTAAAGCACATACTTATTTTAAGTCACTAATATTGGAAGACAGGCAAAATGTTGCCAGGAGGGTTTAGAAACCAAGCTTGGCTTTCCTTTTTGGTATTTCTCATAATAGATTTTCCTGCCATTCCTAAAAATGTGAAGTCTCTTGCGATAATGTTCTAGCTAATGAATGTTTTAATGCTATTCTGTGACGGTGACATTTATACTAGAGATAATTTTACTCCTCCATCCATCTGCTGGCTAGACAAAGTCTACCTGAATGACTTTAGTCAAACATACAAACCATCCAGCTCATATCTTTGTCCTTAGCTGTATGTACTCCAGTAGCTAGCTTATTGGCTTGTCTACAAGAGGCGAGAACTTGGTTACTGATTTAAATAACTCCTTATTTTAGCTAATTAATTCATCTCAAGGGCATAAGTGAAGAGCAAAGAAGCTGAATTTTCTCTTTGGTAAAGAGTGCTTTGGAGATTCCAGAATCTGGGTTTGGCTAGTTAGGCTATCCATAACCAAAGATTTAGAATCATCACCGTCATCATCATCACGATGGATATAAATATCAATAGTGATCAAAGCAATTGCTGTCAGAAGAAAGCACTTTAATAAAAGCACAGAGTCTTGCAAACTGGCAAGTGACATTTGAAAATAATCTGTCTTGCAAAGAGAAAATGAACCTTTTGCTAACGTGGATCCCGTGATGTTGATCCAGGCACTCAGATTAAGATGTTGGAAATTCTAGGACGTGAGTGAGAGCATTTGGAAGGAAAAGTAGACGCAAAAGGAAAGAATCAATTCCCAGGCCACCTTGGCTGGGCAAGCTTCCTCACCAGCTCTGGACCCCACCCCATCCTCCGCATGCATGCCAATCACAGAGCAGTTCCCTCACTGTGTTGGCATCAGTTGCCCATTTTTTGGGTCGTGAATGCTTTGAGCATACTCTTCTTGAGTTCCTTTTGTGAACAAACTATATTTACCTCACCAGAGCTAATGATTGCAGAGCTTTCTAAACCTATATAGCCTAAAGCAATCATTGATTCCTTGATGCCCACTGTTCCCTGCCAGGACCTTTCCCCGTGGTGAGTTTAATGGTGGGATCTGTTGTTCTGAGCATGGCCCCCGATGAAGACTTCCTCATACCCATGAACGGGACCGCCGCGAACATCACCGTGGTGGACTCGGCTGCTCGAGACGCAGCACGCGTGTTGGTTGCCAGTGCACTCACTCTGTTGGTTGGAATCATCCAGGTAACAGGCAGATACCTTGGTGAGCTTTTTATTTGCCATAATGAAGCTTACAGCAAGTGGACTCAGATTTATCTCTTAAAAGCAAACAAAGCAATTTCCTGGAGCCCATATTTATTGTTTAACTTACATTGTTTTAGGTTAGGTGCTAAAATAGTTGGCAAGACTCCATGTAGTCAGTCTCACCTGTCGCCAAAGGCACAGGAAAGCAGCACAGAAGGGCGTGAGGTTAAGGGACAGAGGAGAGAAAGGAAGCTGAAACGGAGAGTGTGTTCTGCCAAGCTGACTTCAGGACCTGAATGACACAGAAATGAGCTACATGGTTTTTGCTTTTCTTTACACAAATATACCACACACACACACACACACACACACACACACACACACACATGTCAAGGCAAATCATACTACTCATGATTTTCCAATGTTAGAATAGTCAAGAGGAGGGGGGAGAGAGGGCATTAAGAAATTCAAATTTGTTTTCTCCTAGTTTTTTTTTTTTGAAGTATTATTTTCCATGATACAGTTTTATAGGCACAGGGGTTCATCCCTCCTCACTATCCCTCCCACCATTTGTCCCCATGTTATTACAAAAGTATAGTCCCTTACTATAGGGTAGAAGCCTAACTTTCTGATACTTAAATGTGTGATGGCATGCTAAGTATAGGAAAAGGTAGAGCCTAGTATTGCAGTGTAAGTGTATTTTTATAAGCTTTATTATCTCTCAGGATTTTTGAACGATAGGCTACTGTTGTCTTAACTGGTGTTAAGCTGAGTCTGTTCATATTTGCAGAAAGTTGGTTTTTTTCTTAGGCAAACCTTTCGTCTTTCCTTCTTGTTAATGCTAGTTGATATTTGGATGTCTGCAAATTGGATTCATCGTGAGGTACTTGGCGGATCCTTTGGTTGGCGGATTCACAACGGCTGCTGCCTTCCAGGTGCTGGTCTCGCAGCTGAAGATCGTCCTCAACGTTCCAACCAAAAACTACAATGGAATCCTCTCCATCATCTATGTAAGTGTTGCTTCTTGTCCCAGAGTTAGGTCACTGTTTATCCTGGAATTTTTTTTTTTTCTTTTTAGCATCAATTTTGAGAAGCTGTGTTTACCCAAGTGTTCTTTGGAAACTGTTGAAAACATGGAAGTCAAAGTGTTAGGAGCAAGCTGAAGAAGGCCAACTTCACAAATCATTCATTGCCCCTCATTTGCCAGAATGGCTTTGCAAATGTTACTGCACTTAAAAATACTAATGGAAAAGAGTGGCACAATGAAATGAATCCCAGCCTGGAATGCAATAGACTTGAGTTCTAATCTCAGCTTTGCCCCTGACAGTCGGAGTTGACCTTAGGCTCTTCATAGAGTGGTGGATGAAATGTTACGTTTCCAACTGGAGGTAGCCATGTTCAAAATCTGACTCTCCGACTCACTAGCATGTCAGCAAAGCACTAGGCCTCAGTCTCGCTGCAGAATACTGTTACAGTAGATAAGGGGCTCACAGCCCAGAGACTGGCTCATAGTAAATGTTCAAAAAAGTAGTTATTTTTGAATTATTGCTTTTCTTTTTTAAAAGTACATTTCATTTATTTGCAAGGTAGAAGCAGAGAGGGAGATCTGATTCATTCTGCAAATGGCCACAACAGCTAGACTGGGCTAGACTGAAGCCTAGAGTTAGGACTCTTCCAGGTCTCCAATGTGGGTGCAGGGGCCCGAGCGCTTGGACCATCTTCTTCTGCCTTCCCAGGTGTGTTAACAGGGAGCTAAATCAAAAGCAGAGCATCCAGGACTGGACTCAGCACTTTGATATGGGACGCCGGGATTGTAAGTGGCAGTTGAACCGATTGTGCCACAACACTGGTTGTTTACTTGTTTATTATCTCTTTTATGTTTTATTTTAATTTTTATTGGAAAGTCAAATATACAGAGAGGAGGAGAGACAGAAAGAAAGATCTTCCGTCTGTTGATTCACTCCCCAAGTGGCCACAATGGCTGGAGCTGCACTGATCCAAAGCTAGGAGCCTCTTCCAGGTCTCCCACTTGGGTGCAGGGTCCCAAAGCTTTGGGTCATCCTCCACTGCCTTTCCAGGCCACAAGCAGGGAGCTGGATGGGAAGTGGAGCTGCTGGTATTAGAATTGGTGCCCACATGGGATCCTGGCACATTCAAGGCAAGGACTTTAGCCACTAGGACCCTTTCCAGTTTAGCCACTAGGGCCATTTCCAGTTTAGCCACTAGGGCCGTTTCCAGTTTAGTCACTAGGGCCGTTTCCAGTTTATCTTTAAGATGAAATCATTGATGATGTAGCTCTAATACCCTAAGAGTCCGTAATAAAATGCATGATGTAAATGTCTCAGCAATTATAGAAGGAAGGAACATCAGATTCAGGGATGAGTCATCATGCAAAAGAGATGCAAAACAAGGATGGAGATCATACTAATTAGACTTGAAAAAGTTCTTGGATCTAAATAAATGTTCTGGAAAAATGGTGATAATAGTAGCGTGATGTCACCCCAGCCTGGAAGGAATGATACACAAAAATAACGTGTCAACATTAGCAATGGAATTGGAGTCTTTTATTGACCAACATGCTAGTTCCTAAAACAATGTGAGGCCATGTACACACAGAATTGGTTAGGTTGTCAGGAAGTTTGCTAACAGGACCAGAATCCGAAATTACTTCATCCATTCAACGAACGCTACCAAGTGCTTTTCCTACTGAGTGGATTCACTTGTCTTATGCAAACATTGTTAGACCTGCATCAACCCTAAATCACAGAAGGCCTAGGCCAATGGTCTCAGACCATTAATGGATACTGATGAACAGGTGAAATCTTTTTATTGTTTGTGTTTGGTCTCCTAGAACATGGTGAAGAAGAAATTCATCACAAATGATCCAATTTTGACAGGGCCAGACATGACTAACACTGAAGCAAGATCAAAAGTATGATTGTTTAACTTTTGGTTAAAAGTCAGAGTAAGATCATCCATCTACTGATTCATTTTCCAAATAGTGGCAAAAGCCAGGGGTGGGCCAGGTCAAAGTGAGGTAGGTACCCAAAATTCAAAACAAGTCTTTCAAAATGGAGGTAAGGCTCCAACCACCTGGGCTGTTCTCTCCCGCCTCCCAGGGTGCACGGTAGTAAGGTGAGCACAGCCTGCATGGGTCTCCGGGCATTCCATCTGGGATGCAGGTGTTCCAGGCATCATCTCCACTTTTGCACCAAATCCCTGTCTCATTGAGAAAGGTTTCAGGAAAAAGTACATCAATGTGGAACTTTCCTTTGGCTATTACCCATGAAGTGCCAATTTAACATGTGTCCTAGAATTTTTTAATAGGTTTTATTTCTTAGAGAAGTTTTAGAGTCGTAGAACCATTGAGCAGGGAACCCACAGTATTCTCATCTAGCCCCTGCCTGACCCCCCCTCCCCCACCGTGCCACGGTCTCCCACATTGCCTGTATCCTTGATTGCACTAGTGTGGTCCATCAGTCATAGCTGGTGAACCGCCTGTCCTGAATTGTGCAGGAAATGCCTCACAGGCTAGTTAGTAGGAGGAAGACATTGTACTCATTCCTGTGAGGTGGTCAATGCATGCTTGGTCTTCTGAAAGCAAGAATGACCTGGTCTAGAAGTGGCTACAGAAAAGTTGACTCAAGCACTTAGTCCCTGAACAGAGACTTTTGGTTATGATGTCACTGTTGCACTCATGCAAGAAAGAATCCCTCAGAAAAATCCAGATCAGTGGTAGATTTCACCAGGAAGGACAGTATGATTGCTGTCAGAATAGTCGCTCTCTGTGCTGAGTTCTAGAACAATTAACACAGAAAGACCTATGGGCTTCCGATCAAAACCAACAGCTATGATGTAACTGCTGGTCTTCAGTCAAAAGTCATTCTTTTCCTTGGCCAGAAGCTTCTTCCGGGTCTCCCATGCAGGTGCAGGGTCTCAAGGCTTTGGGCCATCCTCGACTGCTTTCCCATGCCACAAGCAGGGAGCTGGATGGGAAGCCAGCATTAGAACTGACGCCTATATGGGATCCTGGCACATTCAAGGCAAGAATTTTAGCCACTAGGTTATCATGCTGGGCCCTTAATAATATTTTCTTATAAAACTTTTGAAGTCCTCTTGTGTGTATGTGTGTTGTAGAGATGGCATGTACTTAATGATCTCTATTAAAGTGCTTTTTTGTGAATTTACATGACACTTTTAAGCATGGTTTCATGATGTGTCATGGTTTTTCATTTGTGTGAGAATTGATTGTGTGTGTATGTGTCGCTGGAAGTATACTAATTTTTTTTTTCTTTGTTCCAGACTCTGATTGAAATTTTTGAAAACATTGGTGATACCAATATTGCAGACTTCATCGCTGGGTTGCTTACCATTGTCATCTGCATGGCAGTGAAGGAACTAAATGATCGATATAAACACAAGATCCCCATCCCGATTCCTATAGAAGTAATTGTGGTAAGTGGGCTCTGTAGTGGGGGCGTCCAACGTTAATTAGATTGACAAGCAAGGAATTATTTCAACCCAGTGGAGTTTGAGTTCCTTTTTACTCCTTGTTTTTATTTAATTTAATTTTTTTTTTAATTTCAGACAATAATTGCCACTGCCATTTCCTATGGTGCCAACTTAGAAAAAAACTACAATGCTGGCATTGTTAAATCCATCCCCAGGGGGTGAGTACGATGCTCCTCTGAGCTGATAGGAACATGTGCTGTCAGGGCTGGCTGGTTAAATGAAACCTTCAATGACAGGCTTCATTTCACTGCTGCTCCTCAGGAGGCCTTTTGCCCTTAAACTTCGGGAAATGCCCATTTCCATAAACCTTCAGTGTGTACAGATGAAGTTCATGCTACTTTTTAGAAACCAGCTCTAGTATATTCTCTTCCTTTCATTTAAAAAAGATGTGCCAGGATGTATACAAGTAGCATTCTATCTTGATTCAAATTCATAGATCATTGTGCTATAATATAAGTAGAATCCTGATTATTAACACAGGGCACTGCGAACCACCTGCTTGAGGAATTAGGGAAATCTGTCCTCAAATCTCCACCAGGTCATTCAAGCCATGTTAGGGAATAATTATGTCATTAGTTCCGATCAATAAAGTGCCTTATCTCCAAGGGCAGTTATTCGTGTTGGTGGTTAGGGGAATTGGAAAAGACCAATGTCTGTCTGAGTCATCTCTGAGCTCTGCGACGTGGGAGGTCTTCCTGAGAGACAAAGGCTAATGACAAAAGCCTCAATTGGAACTTGTGGAGCAACACGAAGGATATTTCTCCTAAGGTTCACAGGGCAAGCCTGGTACTATAAGCTGGGACTTTATCCTGTGGGGCTCAAAAGGAAACCCAGATGTTTATTTTGTTTCTATCATAAACTCACTGGTACTTTTTTTAAAAAAAGATTTTAAAAGTTTTATTGGAAAGGAGAGACAGGGAGAAAGATCTTGTATCCTGGTAGGGAGGCTGGATGTGGCCTGTCTCCTTATCTCTGCCCTCCCCTCCAGAAATGGGAAGAAGAAATAGAAAGCTTGGAAGCAATGATCACACACATTTCTCCATAACCCTAGATCCTTCTAACCTTGATCAACTATGCAAACATCATCTAAAATAAATAAATAAATAAATTACTAAGAAAGAAAGAAAGAAAGAAAGAAAGAAAGAAAGAAAGAAAGAAAGAAAGAAAGAAAGAAAGAAAGAAAGAAAGAAAGAAAGAAAGAAAATCACTCCACATTGGCCAGAGATGAGCCACTCTGAAGTCAGGAGCTTCTTCTGGGTCTCCTGTGTGGGTGCAGAGCCCCAAGGCTTTGAGCATCTTGTACTGCTTTCCTAGGCTACAATCAGGGAGCTTGATGGGAAGTAGAGCAGCCGGGACATGAACCGATGTCCATATGGGATACTGGTGTGTACCAGGTGAGGATTTAGCCTCTAGCCATTGTGCCAGTCCCTAAAAAGATTTTTGTTTGAAAGGTGGAGTTACAGAGGTGTAGGGAGAGACAGATGTTCCATTTGTTGGTTAAAGCCCCAAGTGGCTACAACAGCTGGGCCTGGTCTGGTCCCAAGCCAGGATCCAGATCTTGCATGTGAGTGTAGGGGCCAAACACTTGGGCCATCCTCTGCTGCTTTCCCAAACCATTGGCAGGAAACTGGATCAGAAGTAGAGTAGTTGGGACTCAAACCAAGCACTTATATGAGATGCCAGGACTTGCAGACACTGAATTAAACCATGATGTCATAATACTGGGCTCAAAAGATGAATATATATTTTAAAAAGTATAGCATAAGGGAAGACATCAAAATCTCATCCATTGGTTCACTCCCCAAATACCCAAGTCTGGGTTAGGGCAGAAAGTAGGAGCCAAGAGCCAGGAACTCAAGCCAGGTCTCTCCAGTATATGGCAGGAACCCAACTTCCTGTGCCACCACTGCTGTCCCTGTGCTTGTGTGGAGAAGAGGAAGCCAATGAAGTTAGGAGCTTGGGCCAGCACCTGAACCCAGACCCCACAATGGGCCATGAGTGTTCTCACCTCTAGGTGAAAGCCCACCTCACCCAGTTGCCCCTGCTTTCTGAAGACTACTTTCCCACTCTAGCTGGAGTGGTGGTGTATCTACCAAATGCTCAAGTCCAACCCAAAGTGGGAAGTATGCAGTGAGAGTTATGTTAATTGTGCCTGCCTCCCTTGTTAGGGTTCTTAGGCCCTTGGGGTATCCATCCTTCCCTAGCCTCATTTTTTTCTGATAAAGGTGTGTTCTAAAGTTCGCACCCCCTTTGGGCCCTTGATAGTATTATCTCACAATCAGATCAGACAGAGTGGGCTGGGCCCCAGCAGTACCACAGAATGAGCATGAAGCTTGGAAAGAGATTTGGCTGCTGAAAGGGGGCAATGCCTGAAAGAAAGACTTATTCAGAGGTCATTCGGACACGTCCCACAAGGGTCTCAAGCAACTTGGGACACGTGATTAGCACCACGATGATTCAGCAAGACTGTGCAAATGGGAGGAGGGGTGGGATGGATTTAGGTTCTTCCAATATATGCTGAGCACCTACTGTGCACATAGACACTACCTGCCCAAAAGTATATATTTTTTTCCATGAGAAGAGCATAGCATTTGAATCTGACACCTGAGAAAATGGAGGCTTTAAATAATGTGCTCAAAGTCATAAAATGACTCACAGAGTGATTCAGGGCCATTGAGTTCAGGTCTTTGCATCTTATGCTTCGTAGTCCTAGAATCATCTAGAATCCAATAGTATGTGTCTAGCTAGACAACTGGGCTGGTATCAGGACTGAGGCCATTGAAGCCAAACCTGTTGCACGGCTGAGAAGACTGACAAATCCCAGTTACCTGCAGTCAGATTGCCCGGGCCTCAGGAACAAGCAAGAAGCCTGTTTGTTAGAAGGGAGGTCAGGACCCTCTGCAGGCTAGTGGGTGACGTGCCACCGAGGTACTGAATGCTGCTAACAGCAGGGTCTGCAGCCATCCTGTCGGCCTGTAGAAGGGATTCATTCTAGAGCCTACACAGAGGCAGGACGGAAGTCTGAGGATGAGCCTTTGCTGGGGTGAGGGACTGCAGGGGCAGAGAGCCGGATATCCTGTTACCAAGGAAATCGGCTCTGCCATGCGCACCTGCATGACCAAAGCACTTCTTTTCTCGGCTTAGTTCTCTTAGGAACAGAATGAGCAAGGGAGATCCCATACTATCTAGGATGCTCATTGTCTGTCAGTGTCTCTATGGTTTTCTGTAACAACTATTCTATTTTTTTAAAAGTCATTTCCTCCTAGTTGTAAAGTGGAAAAATATGCAGTTTGGTATCACAGGCATTTGAGGCCTAATAAGTGGAATAGGTGGGAAGGATTTCTATTTTAATGATCTTGGCAGTTACACCAATATCTAATGGCTACTGCCCCAGTATCTAGTGTACCTGTTTTTTAAAGATGTTTTTGATTTATTTGAAAGAGAGAAAATGAGATCTTCCTCCCCAAATGGCTGCAATGGCTGGGGCTGGGCCACACTGAAGCTGAGAGCCCCCTGGGGCTTCTTCTGAGTTTCCCACATGTGTGCAGGGACTCAGGGACTTGGGCCATCTTTAGCTACCTTCCCAGGCATTTTAGTAGGATGCTGGATCATAAGTGAAGTAGCTGGGATTCAAACTGGTGCCTATATGGGATGTCAGCACTGCAGGCAATGGCTTAACTTCTACATTACAATACCAGCCCCTCGTGCCTATGATTATTGATTACAAAACAGTCATCATGTATAGGTACATGAAAATCATTACCCAATTTTTCACATTTGGGGACAAACTCATGATAATCAGCTTCTAAGTTTATTTCATTATTATTTTTTAACATTTAAGAATATTTTATTGCGTGATATAGTTCCATAGGCTCTGAGATTGCCTGTGCCCTTCCCCAAGGTCCCTTCCCCGCCCCCCCCATTGATTTCCCCTCTAGTTTTACAATGGATGTCCTTTATGAACCGACACTAATCTATCCTGCTGTTATTGAAGTGTTTCCCGACAATGCAGGCATGGACATTGTCAGAGAGTCCATCATCTTACTGTTAGGATGTATTCAGTTCTTTCACTGGGAGTCCATCTTTGGCATGTATGCATAGAGACATACAGCACTTTGTCTCCGTATCTGAACGTGTCAGTCCCCGCTGCACTTCCAGTATGTATCTCCTAAAATAAATAAACAGTGAGCACATTCCACAACAGGGTGAAAATAATACATGGTCATCATCATGAAATGAACAAACATGCATTGCTTATAAACACTCGAGATTCTAAATGTCCGTTTCAACACTGTTTTGCTACATTTCATGAGTAACGACGGTCTAGTTTTTAATTGTAATTCCCTCAGCCCCACAAGGATCACGCACTAGCATCTATTCCTACAAGAAGGTTTTTGATTCCCATTTTCACCACTCTTGTGATGTGTTTCATTATTACTATTATTATTATTTAAAGATTTAGTTTGTAGAATAACTCTGGTGTTCTGAAAAAGTAAGTCATTTAACCCTGAAACTTTTGGAATGTCTTTTTACCACTGAAGAGCATAGTGGTAATCACACAAATTTACTCTCTTAGCCTCAAATGGATGTTAAATGTCAGAGCTCTCAAGAGGAATTCTGAGTTCTTTTAGCCTCACCTCTTCTTTATCTCCATAAAAGGTCTGACATCTGTTCATGCGGAGTAAATTTCATATGGTGGCTAAAATATCTTTTGAATACAAGACTTTTAACATGAAATTGTGTAGGAAGAAATCGAAACCCGTGGAATGGCGTGGGGCTGGGGTGGAGGTCGTGTGATATTCAAGGATGCGTCAGTGTCAGTGATATGGAAAGGGCAGCATTGGTCCCCTCGCCACAGTCAGTGGGAAAGTGTGAGTTGCTGAAAAATGTTGCCGAAATGGATGCTGCTGTTTACACACCTGTGCTTTTCCTTCTCTTGGGTCAAGCGCCTTCCCGGTCTAACCCATCACTGAGTGAAACAATGTTGAAAAGAGACATTTGGTGATCCAATATTTGCAACTGTTCTCCTTCAAAACCTCCCTAGGTTCTTGCCTCCTGCCCTTCCACCAGTAAGCCTGTTTTCTGGGATGGCGGCAGAGTCGTTTTCTGTCGCTGTGGTGGCTTATGCGATTGCAGTGTCTGTAGGAAAAGTCTACGCCACCAAACATGACTACACCATCGATGGGAACCAGGTATGCTGGGCCTTGGCAGAACTGGTTTTAGGGGGCTGAATGCTGAAAGAAAACATAGAGAAGAGGCTGGCTTCTTACAATAGTTCTTTTTAGGTACGTTCCCCTCTTGGGCTTGCTCATGAGAAATTATTTTGAAATATAGATGCCAAGTATGTTCAAAAGCAAGCTGAAGTAATCATGATTCAATCAGATCATAAGCAACTTGCGAAGGTAATGGATTAGGGTAGAACAAGAATTTTTCATGTGACTCAACATCTTCTGTTTTCAAAAATATTATTTTAATTGGAAAGGCAGATTTACAAAGAAAAGGACCTTCCATCTACTGGCTTAGTCCCCAGACGGCTGTAATCACTGAGGCCAAAACCAGGAGCCAGGAGCCCCCTTGCATCTTCCACATGGATGCGGGATCCCTAGGACTTGGGCCGTCCTCCACTGCTTTCCCAGGTCATCAACAGCGAGCTGGATGGGAAGTGGAGCAGCTGGGACATGAACTGGTCCCAATGGTGGCAGATTAACCATTGCTCCAGTCCCCTCATGCCAACTTTTTTTGTTTGGATTTATTTATTTACTTGAAAGGTAGAGTGATAGGGAGAAAGGGGGAGAAAAATAGAAAGATTGATCTGGTTGCTGGTTCATTTCCCAAATGGCTGCAATGGCTGGGACTGGCCCAGGCTGAAGTGAGGAGCCAGGAGTTCCATCTAGGTGAGTGGCAGAGGAGCAAGTGCTTCGGGCAAGTTCTGCCCACTTTTTCAGGTGTATTAGCAGGGAGCTGGATGGAAAGCAGAGCAGCCAGGACTTGAACCACTGCTCCAATATGGGATGCTGGTGTTGCAAGTGGTGGTAGCTACCTTCCTGGGCTACAATGCTGGTACTTATGCATATATATCAGAAAGATTCATTTATTTTTATTGGAAAGTCAAATATACAGAGAGGAGGGGGGACAGAGAGGAATATCTTCCATCTGATGCTTTGCTCCCCAAGTGGTTGCAATGGCCAGAGCTGAGCTGATCTGAAGCCAAGATCCAGGAGCTTCTTTTGGGTCTCCCACATGGGTGCAGGGTCCCAAGGCTTTGGTCCATCCTCAACTGCCTTCTCAGGCCACAAGCAGGGAGCTGGATGGAAAGTGGGGCCGCTGGGACACGAACCAGTGCCCATATGGGATCCCGGCATGTGCAAGGTGAGGACTTTAGCCTTTAGGCTACTGCTCCAGGCCCAGTGCTGATGTACTTTTAACAGCAGCTACACCTGACAAAATGAGACAACAAATACTGGTAATAACAGTTGTGATCACTTAAAGTTTAAAATATTGTTTACTGGAAGCACAGAGATTTCCTCCCTTTCCTGGTTCATTCTTCAAATGCTTAGAGCAGCTGGGATTGAGTCAGGCCAAAGCTGGGAGTCAGGAGCGCAAAGTTAAGACCATCTAAATCAAACCAGTTCACTGTGGTAGGGGACCGTCAGGCAGGGCCAGGTGTGCCGAGTTCTCGCCCTGCTTGCCATTGGACAAGCCAATCTGTCTCTGAGAACACAGCCTAGCAATTACAGCAGCGAAAGAATTAGCCCACAGAGTAACGGCTCTGCTGGTCACAGTCCACAGAGACAGTGAGTCTCTCCCCAGGTCCCATGGAGTCCAAATTGATGCTTCACAGCAGAGGGGAGGGTCCCCAAGTCCCCTGAGGAACAAGACAAGAGTGAGGGCTGGGCCAGCGGGCTGTGTGGGTGGGGGGCTGCTTTCTCCGCGTATTTCCTTGGACCCTGGGGGAGGGTCTTGCCAAGGGTTTGTTTGTACCATCCCTGGCATCCATTCTCTCCCTTAGGAATTTATTGCTTTTGGAATCAGCAACATCTTCTCGGGCTGCTTCTCATGTTTTGTTGCCACCACGGCCTTGTCTCGCACGGCTGTCCAGGAGAGTACTGGGGGAAAGACACAGGTATGGACACACACACACCGAGAGACAGAGAGAGAGAGACAGAGAGAGAGCGATCTGGATGGTCAGTCTGGGTATGGGGCAGGAGGAGTTCCAGCTTTTCCTGGCTCAATTATCTCGTTGATCCACTCTCTCATCAAAAAACAGGCAACATTTATGACTTTCTGAGCCTGGGTTGGTTGAATCTCTGTTGTGCTCATTTGGTGCTCACCTGGTCAATAACTGTATGCTTACCTGCTTTTCCTGGAAAAAAAAACAAAAAGGGACGAGGGAGTCAGCCCTGAAGAATGCTGATTGTTATCAACCTGGGGCCTGGGGAGTTTCTGTTGTCAGGAAGCTGAAGCGCTCTGCTCACCTGCTCTTTCCAAGCATGTCAGTCCTTGCCAAGAACATCCCTGCTGTGACGTTCTGCCATTTCTTCCTGAGTGGGATCTGTGTTCCCCAAGTTCAGAAGCAGGCTTAACCTTGGCTGTTGCAATACATAGTTAATTTTGCACACTTGGAAAGCTCGGCTGCTGCTCTTAAAAGGGGCTGTCCTTTTGCTCTAGACGCTGGCTGGGTCAGATGGCTCAGGCCAGGTCGGCCCACCTGATAATGTCAGGGTTATAGCAGCTGAGTGTCTGTTATGCCTCGAGGGCTTCATCCTCCCAGCACTGAAAGAACCATTATTTACAAGTGACAAGTGCATGGAGACCGGCCAGACCAAGGAACTCCATTTAAATGGTGCAAGATGCAGTCTTCCAGTAAGGTTTCATTAAGGCAAAAGACCCAAGGGTCAAAAAGAAAATAACTGAAGAAAAAGAATAATTTCAATGGAGGGTATTAGGGGCAAGGTTTTTTTCCCCCATTTTCTTTTGCTGTGATATGTTTATTTGCAAAGCAGAGGGAGGGAGAAAGATCTCTCTTCTGTTTGTCCATTCTCCAAATACCTGTCATAGCCAGGGTTGGACGAGTTCTAAGCTGGGAGTCCAGAATTCAATCTGAGGAGGCAGGAGCCCAATTACTTTATGTTTCACCTGCTGCCTCGCAGAATCTGTTTGAGCAGGAAACTGGATTCAGGAGTGGAGAAGCCAGGACTTGAGCCCAGGGAACTCCAGCATGAGAACCAGCTGTCCCAACTGACAGCCAAATGCCTACCTGTGGGGACAGCTTGAAGTGTCCCCCCAGTGCTCACGATGCTTCTTCCCGATTCATAATGACTGTCCTGACAGACATGGAAGATTTGGCCTTCTCCACTTCCTTAGCTGCTGTGGAACTGATAACTTCATTTTCAAAATCTCTTCCACCTTCTGTTCGCAGACCTTGCTAGCTTCTGCAAGTGGCTGTAGCTACAATCCCACAGCCCAGCCCACAGGCATGCCCTGAACATTGCTGTCAAGATGGGGGAAGGCAGAGCCCCATATCCAGAATGCTCCACCTCCCCCCGCCGTCATCCACAAGTAGGGGTGGCTGCTGCATTCATCCAAACCAGCACACTGTCCAAACCTCTGGGTGCAGGCACATGCCTGCTGCTGAGTTCCATTCTTTCGCTGTTAATCTGCAGGCTCAAGTGAGGCGTGGGCCAGCTGCCCACCTGTGGGGGCAGGGGATGGGAAGGAAAGAATGCCTGTGTAAAGTGACCTCCCTGGCAGACAGTGTATGGGATGATGACGTTTCGGAAAGTTAATATCCTCCACTACACACTGGCCTGCATTATATTTAGGAATGAACCATGCCAGGATTTTTAGCACCAGAGAATGAAACCAGTGCAGAAATGGCTTGATATTTAATCAGTGAAATGCATACTAATTTGTGGGGCTAAAAGTGGCTGGACTCACAACTCAAGAAATGGGCAAATCTCCTCCTGTTGGGTGGCTTCACATGGTTTCCCATTGTTTAGAGCTTCTGCATTGGCAACTGTGAGATTGGAATTATCATCCATCTCATGGGGAGCATGTTGTAAGGATTAAGTAAGAAAATGTGCATAGGGTCCTGATGTCTAACTGCCCAAGCTTGTTCCACACTTGTGTCTGTGTGACGTGTGCACTGTGCCCAGCACCCAGGGTGTGCCCAGCAGGGATGAGTGAAAGGATAGGACAAGAGCTTAGTCTTGCTCTCTTTCCTTTCTTGCATCTACATCTGACTCCTGCTGACTCAGGAGAAAATCATTCTGGTTCCAAACTGCTGTCAAATCTGATGATCTTCCGTCTTACCAGAACAGTAATTCATTTTCTAGTAATTGGGTCTACACAGGGATTTAAAAGGTTACTGGGTTTCCCACAGACCAGTCCTTTACATATTGTAGTATCCGGACTGCTTTTCTAAAAGTTTCAACTTACTGTTTCACTTACTTGATGAGCAGATGGCCCCTCTCCTGGCCTCAGCCAGGGGACTGATTGTGATCCCCATCGCCAGATCTCCGTATCCAGCACCAATTCACAGCGTCCCACATTCACAGGGAGGTACAAATTGCCCAGTAAACATTGGTGAGATAATTGCATATAGCTGTGGAGATGAAACAATTGCACAGTGAGGGCATTTCTCAGTTTATACAGGAGTTAGAGAAGCATTCACCAGGGGACAGGGAACATGGAACAGTGGGGTAGTGTGAGCGAGGGCATTGCCAGAGAGTCAGATGTTCAAAGAGCGAGCTTTCCAGTCCCTTCTCTGCATAACCTGGACACAAGCCGAGGCAGGTACCATGTGCACCCCAGGGACCCAGGGTCAGCTCTGGGTGCCCGCTGTTATCCCTGCTTCTTGTTTTCTGCTTCCTCTTGCTGTGTGTCTCCTTTAACTCGGGGATCTCCTACCAGGCAGCTCTCTTCCCTGCTGCTTCCTCTTGGATTTCTCTGCCTGTCTCCTTTTCTCCTGTGTTTCAGAGCTTCTAGTCTTCACCTCGGCCAGGCCCCAGTGCTCTCGACAGAGAATCCATGTCATCCAGTCACCCGAGGCTAGTTCCTCCGCCTCCCAACCCCGCTGTGGCCACCGAGGCCAAGCTCTGAGCTGGGATCTGTGGGACTGTGAGCGAAGTAAGGAGGCACAGTCCTGGCACTCCGTGTGTCAGTGAGACACACTGCCGTGGGCTGGGAACATTGATTTTTCTCTTGAGGCATCCCTGGGAACCCTATGCTGTGAAGGCAAGTGTGTGTCATGGCTGCCACGTTGTAGAAGACTGTGGTGAGCCTTGAGAACTGATTTCCTGAGAACGTGACCTGCAGTTTGGGGAAAGGGCAATGGCTTTGAAGACTGGCCTCACCTTGAACCGGCATCAAAGCTCTAGGTGTGTAATATCGTCACACGAACTCTGTGTCCACCTGGCTAGAGCTGGGGGCTCTGTTCTGCCGTTTCTGTCTCTTTTCTCTTCTCTGACCCACTCCATTTTGGTTCACTTTAGGAGAGTTTTCACAAACCACGCTCATTTCTCGCAGTGGTTGTTGAGCAGAGGGAGGGTTAGGGGTGTGGGAAGCATGCCTGCACCCATCAACATTTTCATGCATGCTTTCACATGGCAAGCTGGAAGGGCGCAGAGCAGGAGGACAGACACCCATCAGTACCAGTTTGTGTCTTTCAGGTAGCTGGCATCATATCGGCTGTGGTCGTGATGATCGCCATTGTTGCCCTGGGGAAGCTTCTGGAACCTTTGCAGAAGGTACAGCCCCAATTCTTGGTTGCATAATCTCCAGCAATTCCTGTGCCACCAGAGGAGTGACAGGAAACTTAAAAATCATCACTGGGATAAAGCATGCTCTTGAATAACACAGCCCTCCCCTCTCCCCTGGCAGTCAGTCCTGGCAGCCGTTGTCATTGCCAACTTGAAAGGGATGTTTATGCAGGTGTGTGATGTTCCTCGCCTGTGGAGGCAAAACAAGACTGACGCTGTAAGTAGTCACCCACCATCCGCTGGTCTCGGAAATAGCATTTGCTTCTCATTTGCTTCCTCACATTATCATTATCTTCCCCTCTCACCTTTAGGAACATTAGAGTAGAAATTAGAATGTGTGTGGATAAACCAAAGATGTGATCTCTCCATATGAACTGAGTTTGGAAAGATCCTGATTTTATCTTAACATTTTTATTTATGTCTTAGAAAGGCAGAGTTAGAGAGAACCTTCCATCTGGTTCATTCTTTAAATGGCCACAATGGCCAAGGTTGGTCCAGTCCAAAGCCAGAAGGCTGAAGCTCCATCCAGGTCTCCACGTGTGTGACAGGGGCCCATTCAGCTGACTCTTCGTCTGTCTGCTTCCTGGTGTACTAGCAGGGAACTGGGTCATAAATGTAACAACCAGGACTTGAACATGTGCCCCTGTGGGATGCTGATGTTGCAGGCAGTGGCTTAATCCACTTTTGCCACATGCTGGCTCCAAGATCCTGGGTATTTTTTTGGAAGATTCATGTCTACCAGGAATCCCACACGGGGCTCATTCACACCTCTTTTGCCTTTTAAAAAAAATATTTTATTTATTTTTATTGGAAAGGCAGATTTACAGAAAAGGGAGGGGGAGGGAGAGAGAGAGAGATCTTCCATCTGCTGCTGCACTCCCCAAATGATTGCAATGGCCAGAATTGAGTTGGTCTGAAGCCAGGAGCGTCTTCTGGGTCTTCCACGTGGGTGCAGGGTCTGGGTCTCAAAGCTTTGGGCCGTCCCCCACTGCTTTCCCAGGCCACAAGCAGGGAGCTGGATGGGAAGTAGAGGAGTTGGGACATGAATCAGCACGTAAATGGGATATTGGCACTGCAAGATGGATACGGAGAGTTAGCCATTTGAGCCATCACAGTTTTTGTCTTTGGCCTTCCGAAGACAAAACATGAACATGTTTTCATAAAATCCTGGTTTAAAAGGATAAATATACAAAGCCATGCATACACATAAAGCGAAGCCTAAAAAAGCCTATGCCGATTTTAATTGTTACTAAAGTAACCTTCACAATTAATCTGAAGCAATATAAAAGTCAGAAGATAAATCCTTTGGAGACTCACTCTAACTGCAACCAAGAACAGGGCGGGGAGGGGGGAGGGATGAAAAATGTAGAAAGATCCTGAAGAGAAAGTATTATGTGAAAAAGAAACTTGAATAGAAATGCTGGGGGAAAGTATACTCAGTGAGAGAGATGGAAATTAGGGGATGGGAAGTATAAGGATTTGGTCTAGCCATTAAGGTATCTGTGTCCTACCTCACTTTACCTGGATTTGATTCCTGGCTTTTATTCTTAAGGCTCTAATGCAGGTGCTGGGACTCAGATGATGGCTCAAGTCTTGGGTCCCTGCCGCCCATGACGGGGACCTGGATTGAATTCCCAACTCCTGGTTTTGACCCCAGGCCAGCCCCAGCTGTTTTGGGCATTTGGGAAGTGAATCAACAGATGGAAGTTTCTCTCTCATTTTTGGTTGAAAGAAATAAAAGAAAAAGATAAGGAAGGAAAGGAAGGAAGGAAAGAGAGTACAAGTAAGAAAGTAGAGAGATTTAAAATTAGTGGAAAAATAAGAGGGTTGCGAGCAAGTTTTTTTTTTTTAACCATATAGCTTTTAAATATTAATTCCCTCATCGAACCCTGTGACTACATTACTTACTTAAAATTTTTGAAAAATAAAGTGGACAGTTAGTCTTATTTGAGAAGACAGTAGAGTCTTGAGAAAGCTACTTTTACTTAAATATGAAATGAATGAATTCAGAAAAAAAAATGTCAAACCTGTGACTTATTTATTGTGACTAACTTTTTTGATATTAATTGATCTTCTGTGTAGGTAGTTTATTCTCCTGATGGCTCCTGGCGAGTTAATGTATTTCTTTTTGTGTCTCTTCTGTTCCTAGGTTATCTGGGTGTTTACTTGCGTGGTATCCATCATTCTGGGGCTGGATCTCGGTTTACTGGCTGGCCTTGTATTTGCACTACTGACTGTGGTCTTGAGAGTTCAGTTGTGAGTAGCCTCAAACCAAGACTTGGTATGAAAAGGACGGCACACCCTGAGCTTTCTGATGCCACCTTGGTACAGAGTGGAACTACTTCTTTGCATACCATTTGCTTGGTATGGAGGCATCTGTGAATTAAACATGTGGTACTTCACAGACACTATGATAGGTCATCTTCAAAAAAAATCCCCATAAGTGTGTATGTTCATTCCCATTCTACAGGTGATAAAGCTGAGGCTCAGAAAGGCTAAGACCCTTTCCTAAGGTCACACAGCTGGAAAGTGACGGTGCCAAGATTTGCACTGAGGGGCCTTTTACCCCATATGTACTATGCAGTTACATGTTCTAAAACAGGAAGATGCATGGCTCAGCTGAAGACTGATAATCTTTTTATAATTTCTTTTTTTTTAATCAAATGAAGTATGTGAGGCTCTAAGCCCAAGATTTGGCTGAGACAAGGCAGCTGCAGAACACATGCTATATAGGTTGAGATCCCTAATCCAAAAAAAAAAAAAAAACCCAAAGTTGGAAAGTTTTTAAGTACTGACAATGTGCTCAAGAATTCTCTGATGTTTTTAAAATTTCAGATTTTGGATTTTCCAACTAGGGATGCTCAATTGGTAGAGTCTGGGCAAATATTGTGAATATACAACACTTTCGGTCCCAACCATTTGGATCAGGAATTCCATCTGCACTGAACCATTTTATGGTAGTTTTAAAACATTTTTGTTTATCCATTTGGAAGTCAGAGTTTCAGAGAGAGAGGGAGAGACAAAGTCCTTCCGTTCTCTGGCTTACTTCCAAAATGGCCACAGTGGCTGGAGCTCAGCCAGTCCAAAGTCAGGAGCCAGGAGTTTCTTCAGTGTCTTCCACTTACGTGTAGAAGTTTGAGCCCTTGGACCATCCTCCACTGCTTTCTCAAGCCATTCGCATATGAGTGGATCATCAGTGCAGTAGAAGTGGGATGCCAATGCTGCAGGACCCACTCTGCCACAACATTAGCCCTATTTGTTTCCTTCTTTAGAAGCTGGTCACCCAAAAGCTGTATCACCAGAACATGGGAACTTTAAACCTTTTGAATACAGGCAGTATTTGCTCAGACCTGTCAGTTAAGGTGTATACCCAAAAACACTGTGTAGTTAGGTGACAGAAGCACCATTTGGTTGTGGTTAAATTGAGTGCTGTGAAGAAACCATTCAAGCATTGGAAAACAGAAAGGAAGAAGAGGAAGGAGACAAACTCCAAAGGTGAACTTGTATGTTGGTTTTGTCTTGGTTCAGTTATGTGCCCTGCTTGGCCTCCCTCCTTGTCTCCTGTCCTTTCCCTTTGCTGTCTTTGCAGATTTCTGGCCCCTTTTCTGAAATTTTAAAGTTAAAAAAAAATTTTTTTTAAATTCCCTTTGGAAGTCAGAGTAACAGAGGGAGAAGGAGAGACAGAGACAGATAGAATCTTCCATCTGCTGGTTCATTCCTCCAGATGAATACAACAGCTGTGTCTGGGCCAGGAGGAAGCCAGAAATCAAAAACTCCATCTGGGTCTGCCACCTGTGTGGCAAGGGCACAAGCTTGAAGTTTAAAATCAGCACAATGCAGCAAGCCAAGAGAAAATTGGTGACACGATCTAGCTACTGGTTTGGTAACGGGGCTTTTAGACAACAGAGAACAGCGTCCTGCACACAGTATTTAATTTCCAGTAATTATAATGCCGTATCAGAGAGCACACAATGCTGAAAGGGCCCCATACAGATAGTTTTTCTTCAGGAATTGTATGGAGCATATGTTCCCAGTCACACTTGAAGAAGCATGGAATTTGTCTGATTGCAGCGGGGAGGGGAAATCAACAAACTAGTTGGCAGGTGGAGACATATTTGTGGTCCTTCCAGGCTCCTATTTCTATATAAAAAAAAATACTTTTTGATTCTCTAAAGACTTTTTACACTCCGGTTTTAGGAAGTTTCACTGAGTCGCAAGTAAAAGCAAGGCCCTAGAGACTCCTGAGTTAAGGATAGGAGCTGTGTTGGTCTTTACCTCTTGGTCATGTGTACCAGTAGAAGTCAGGTTAACGCAGCTGGCTTTTCAGGGCCCTGGTGTGACATGTGGGCCAGCTCTTTCCTTACCCTGTCGAGTGCGGTGCTCATGGTTTCTCTTGGACCCTAGAAGATAGCTACTGTCCCCTACCACCACCCCCAGCTTCTCCCTCTCCCTCAGTGTCATGCCAACACCAGCTGTTCTTATTAGACTTGCCGGTGGGAAAATGTCATCTGCAATCAAGAGGCCTAAACACCAGAACAAGGGGCTCATGAATAGCTGTGACTGCTTTTTAACCATTGGACTCCAAAAGATTCCTGACCTTCATGTTTCTTTTTTCAGTCCTTCATGGAATGGCCTTGGAAGCATCCCTAGCACAGACATATACAAAAGCACCAAGGATTACAAAAATGTGAGTGCCTCTCTGAAATGATGGCTGAGCTCGGCTTTACTGCCTTCGAATTTCAGGAGTGCCGTGGGGAGTAGACCTATGTTGGGGAAGGTGGTTCGTCCAATGGGAAGACCAAGACAACTCAAAACCCAATATACCTTTTGATATCCGTGGTGGATATGAACTTTGTTCATGCTAGTAAAATATCATTTTGCTATAAAACCATTGTAAAAGGGGGATTTTAAAAAGAATAGGCAATTAGACTGTCTCTAGATTTTCAATCAAAATTTTATATCTCTGCATGAAATTGCCTGAAATCCCTGTAAGGTTTTTTCATTCCGCTCTAAGGAGAGATTCTCAAGTTCTCTGTCACCAAAACCTTCTGTGACATTTTGCTTTATCCTTGGCTTTGGAAAAATTCATGTGTAATACAGGAAATGAAATAAGAAGAAATTAAACAACCCACTGATGGGCATGTGTTATCTGCAAATAAAATTGCTTCATGAAAACTAAGGGGACACAAAGATGAAAAGGCAGAGAAAGAAAATAAAGAAAACAATTATTTAGAAAGACAAATGAAACAAAATGAGATGAACCTCCCCCTCCCCCAGCCAGGAAGCTGCAGTCAAATTTTATCTTCACATAAAAAAATTAAAAAAAATGATTTCCTGAGCCTGGCATTCCAGTAGCTGCTAGTAGATTTCTGCCCACCATCTTTCCGCTCTGTTGCCCTCGCCTGAGTCCTTAGCGTCCTAGAGCTCCAGCGTTTTCTGAGGAGTTGGACTACAATGGGACAAGTCCCAGAAACAAGGGAAGTCTGACTCTCATTCCAGTGGTTCTGCTTTGGGTGCAGCCATGCTTCTGTCTGGGGGAGAACAAAGAGCTGATAATACAGAACTCAGCTCTCACACATCCTCTGGATTTTGTTACTGCTTTTTTTTTTTCCTTGCTACTTGGAAAACATCTGAACAGAATCAAGAGATGTGAACTTGAAGCAAGTCACGTCATGGTTCTAAGCTTCAGTTTCTAGCTAAGTCAGGGGGCTGACTGCTTGCTTTCGGAGCCTTTCTGACTTCCACCCGTGCATGTCCAAGCCTTCTGGTAGGCACTTCCCTCCCAGCCTGTGTGGACTCCTCATGGCAGGAAAGCTGAGAGCTGCTGCCTAGCTGCTCTGACCACTGGCGGCCCAACTCCTTGTCCAAGAGCCAGAAATGTAATTGAATATTTGATATCTGAAATGGCTTAACTTCACTTTTTTTTTTCTTAATTACCAGATTGAAGAACCTGAAGGAGTGAAAATTCTTAGATTTTCTAGTCCGATTTTCTACGGCAATGTTGATGGTTTTAAAAAATGCATCAAGTCCACCGTAAGTATTTCACCTCTGGAAGTTTGGCTTTGACCTGCTTCATGACTGCATTCGTTCCACAAGGACATCATGTTGAAGCTCCAACTTGGAGTTAAACTCTTGGTTTTGTTCTCTTTCTGTAGGGCATTACAATGTATGAGTGTAGCATCCTTGCCTTCAAAAACTTGACATTCTGGGTACAGGAATAACATGTTTTAATCCAGGTAGCAATAGCTATGTCAGAGTTTGAGTAAGTGAGTAAATTAAGGATCAGATGAGTATTACAAGTGGTAAGTGTCTTCGCTTTATAGAAGGAAAAGATCTGTGTTATTGGACTCATCAGGCTGTGTGTGCAAGCTGGTGGGAAGGAGCTTATTATATTAGGTATCTGGGGACTGGGTGAGCTGGAAGTAAAGAAAGATGTACAGGTGGGGGGCTTTTCAGTTGGCATAGAGTAAGAAGAACTAGCAGAATGAGGAAGTGGGATGTTCTTTTCCTGAATGCTACACTCTGCGCAGACCTGGAGCTGGCTCCTGGGTCTGGATTGGTGGTTTCCTAAATGAGTTCTCAGGAGACTGATTCAGAGGACTGCTGAAGGATTTTTCTATAATAAATGGGCTCTGTGACATAAAAGTTGGGAAACATGAGAGTAAAAGTTCAAGAGATTATTACTTGCTATTTTGTCCTTTATGCTCTTGGCGCCTTCCATATGTTCCTGTGTTCCATGGGTTCCGGGGTGGGGAGGCATAGTCAGATAGACAAGATCTACTCCATCAGGTGTCCCAGGCTTGTGTTTGGCAGACTGTCCAAAAGAGATATCATCCTTGGAGAAATAACCTTTCCGGATAACAACTGCCATTAATGAGCATTAGGCACCAGACATGCTAAATAACTTGACATTTTATTTCCAAAGGTTGGGTTTGACGCCATTCGAGTATATAATAAGAGGCTGAAGGCATTGAGAAGAATACAAAAACTCATCAAAAAAGGACAATTAAGGGCAACAAAGGTGAGGAAATAACTCCGTCCTCCCTAATGCTTTCTTTTCTCTGGAGAAAGCAGTTAGCGGGTCTAAAATTAAATCTATCCCCTTTGGTGTCCAGATGTGCACAAACGGATGACATATGTATGTCAGAGCTCAGCTATTTTTGTAGGCAAGAGGGAATAGGAGGCAATGAAATGCAATCCACAGAGCTCCCTGGAAACATGGGATACGATGTTTTTCTATCCTGAATGGCATCTGTATTCTCTTTTATTTTTGCTGAAAGGAACAAAATAAGAGCTAATTCACAGGCAGAAAATTACTCACATTGGAAGGCAGTAAGTTCACAGGCTTTTAGAGCAAGTAATTTTTACTCAGACTCTTTCCAATGTATCTCTTGGCAAAGTTCCACAATTTTCCAGAAATCAAAAATTTTCCTGGCTTCCTTTGGTCTTCCATTTTTTTCTCACTAGAAAACATCAAAGTTTGTACTCAGGAATTCATGGCCTTAATATTTTGCTTATCAAGGAATGGTATGTGTAGGGACACTGAGATCATTTGAGACGAGTGACTAAAAGGTGGTTTGAGTCATTAGGAACTAAGTTGTCCGTGTTTTCTTGATTTAGAATGGCATCATAAGTGATGGCTCACCAAATAATGCTTTTGAGCCTGATGAAGATATTGAAGATTTCGAAGAACTTGATGTCCCAACCAAGGAAATTGAGGTTCAAGTGGATTGGAACTCTGAGCTTCCTGTTAAAGTGAATGTTCCCAAAGTGCCAATCCACAGCCTCGTGCTGGATTGTGGAGCGATCTCCTTCCTGGATGTTGTTGGAGTGAGGTCACTGAAAATGGTAAGGTTCTGTTCTTTCCATGTGGAGCTGTGGCATTAGTAAAATGACAGGGTTGTCCAGCCTTGCAAAGCAGCCAATGCACGGGCATTGTGGTGGGAATGTTTTGGTACTCGGTAAAGCACAGGTGCCATAGGGAGTCAGGCTTTGTGGGGCAAATCCTGGCCTTGATATTCACTAGCAGTATGACCTTGAGCATGTCTGTGCCTCACTGCTTGATCTGTAATACAGACTGGTAGAGTTGTTACGATGTTAAAATCAGCACTCTGCTTGTTGGTTACATGACTGGCAGCAGGATCAGGGATACCATGGACGTGGTAGAAGAGGCATTATTACACTGGAGTGGGAAAGAGAGCAGGTGGGAGAGGAAGAACATCACAGACAGAAACATTCTTGATCTCAGAAACCAGCAACACAAGCTCCAGTTCATTAATTCCTTCACCAAGTAGATGTGAAAGGTTTAATGTGTCCCAAGTACTCTGGATGAAGACGTCACAGTCCCTTCCCTTATAGGACCAGAAAGCAGCCTACAGAAGGTGGACATTAACATTCTAAATACCAACTGGATTACATTTTGCCAAGTAGACTTTAAATAGGTGTCACCTGAAGTGTCAAGTTCAAGGTGAAGCTTCCAGTGGGTATTCAAAGGGCCAGGCAGAAAAATCAGCAGGCTCAAGGTACTAACAATGAGAAGATGTGATGTTCACAAGGACTGACTCCCCATTGAGGTTTAGCTTAGCTGGGGGCTACTTGGCTACCTCTGCAATGGCAGGAAATGAGGACCTGGCGTAGTGGCCTAGCAGCTAAAGCCCTTGCCTTGCATGCACCAGGATCCCATATAGCCGCTGGTTCTAATCCCAGCTGCTCCACTTCCCATCCAGCTCCCTGTTTGTGGCCTGGGAAAGCAGTCAAGGATGGCTGAAAGTCTTGGGACCCTGCTACCCACACGGGAGACTCAGAAGAGGCTGTAGGCTCCTGGCTTCGGATTGGCTGAGCTTTGGCTGTTGAGGCCACTCAGGGAGTGAGTCAATAGACAGAAGATCTTCTTCTCTATATATCTGACTTTCCAGTAAAAATAAAATAAATCTTTTTAAAAAGGGAGTAGGAAATGATGCCAGGTTGTGGGTACCAGGTAGGTGAAGTAGGGAAGTGATTTGCTTTGTCCAAAGTGTAACAGTGTGTTGACAGAAGCTGTTCCAGTTCTCTTAGCAAATCCAGTTATCAGCTCATCTGCAAACTCACTCTTTGTTGTGCCTCTCCCCATGTGGGTGGCAGGGGCACTCAGGCATGTGGTATTGCTTCCCCATGGCCAAGAGCAGAGAGCTGGATATGAAGTGGAAGAGCTGGGAATCCCCACTCCAATAGGGAATGTTGGTATCACGGGTGGTACCTACAACCTGCTGTGCCACAATGCCAGCTTACAACACTGCTGCCCGCAGTGTTTCTTGGGCACTGCTATGCTAGAGTGTTGAACTATGAACACTGGATGCTGCCATCTTTGGAGAGGCAGTCCTTTCATTCCTGTAGGTTGACAATATCTATGGTTTTCCAATAATTAACCATCAAAGTGTTGATGAACCACCTAGGTAATCAAATGCTACCACACTGTGTGCAGATGAAATTATTCACTGTAATGCGTGTTACCCTTTTCATTTTTAGATTGTCAAAGAATTCCAAAGAATCGATGTGAATGTATACTTTGCATCACTTCAAGGTAAATGTGTATACGAAGAAAATTCACCTCTGTCTGTGAGATTTTCCCCTTACCTCTTTCTCCTATCTTGTAAGCATGGGTGTGAACCTCTGAATCTGTCCATGGACTGACTCCACTGAGTGTAACAAATTTCTAGTTCAGTAGAAGCAGAGTCTGCGATGGAACTGTCATGGGAGTGATTTACTACAAGAAAACATCCAGCGACATTTATGAAGGCAAGAGTGCGAGGGGACGAGGCTGGTTAGAGAGAGTATTTTGAACATTTCACAGGGCACATGACAGCAGAAGGACCCATGATGCCCCCTTCTCCAGGGAGGCTGACTTATTCCCACACCACTTGGGCAATGATTCAGGCTGCCCTTTTGCAATGTGTAGCCTCCTGGGCCTCTAAATGAGATAGTTCCCATTGAGTGAGGGAATTCTGCAAAGAGCCACAGCAGGGAGCCACTGGTATTCAGTGTCACAGCAGCTGGAGGGTGGGTATCACCGGTGGACTAGATAAAAGGCCGCCTGGGGCCCAGTGGCATGGCCTAGCAGCTAAAGTCCTCACCTTGAACGTGCTGGGATCCCATATGGGCACCGGTTCTAATCCCGGCAGCTCCACTTCCCATCCAGCTCCCTGCCTGTGCCCTGGGAAGGCAGTTGAGGATGGCCCAGAGATTTGGGACCCTGTGGCCGCGCGGGAGACCTGGAAGAGGTTCCTGGTTCCCAGCTTTGGGTCAGTGCTGCACCGGCTGTTGCGGTCACTTGGGGAGTGAATTAACAGATGGAAGATCTTGCTCTCTGTCTCTCCTCCTCTCTGTATATCTGACTTTGCAATAAAAATAAATGAATCTTAAATAAATAAATAAATAAATAAAAGGCTGCCTTTTGACCAGCCAAGGCACAACTGCCCTGTGTGCTACTGGAAAAGGGCGGCAGTCAGTTTAGAGTGGGATCACCCTTTGGAAATGCAAAGGGGAAAAAATTTAAAGGAGGAACAACATAAACAGTATTATGGGTTGCTGTGTTGAAAGTATCTTATAGAAGAAGAACTAAACATTCCCTTTCTTTTGAAGATCATGTGCTAGAAAAGCTGGAACAATGTGGCTTCTTTGATGACCACGTGAAAATGGACACGTTCTTCTTGACTGTCCACGATGCTATACTCTATCTACAGAACCAGGGGAAATCCCAGGAGGGTCAAGATTCCATTTTAGAAAAGGTAAGTATGTGTCCCTCCGGTATCTTTCTGCAGCAGCTACCATTTCTGTACATTGTAAAAGTTGGACCAACCTTGGTTTGCAATTTCAGGTTAGCTGGTGGCTTTCAGGCCACCTGCACAGAATCTTGGATCCTCACTTTCTTCAGTAAAATGAGCGCTTCACTTTTCACCTTGCTGGGTGATGCAAGGACTAAATAAGAAAGTTGATAAGAAGCACTTGACTGTAGCCTCTGCATAGTAGTTCTGCAATGTCAAGGTTTACTGACAAAATAGGCATTAGCTACACGGTGTCATTTCAGGATATAGCACTGAATCTTGTATCTTCTTGTGTACATAAATAGGACTTGAATTTTCACGACTATGGAAACCTTTGAATTAAAGTGTCTTCTCTTTTTTTAAAAAAATTATTTTTTCCATCTGGTTAACCAAATTTCCTAATACCAAAATTGTCTAGATCATCCTCTTCTAAAAAAGATTTATTCGTTTATTTATTTGAAAGGCTGAGTGACAGATGGGAGTGGAGGGGGGCAGAGAGACAGAGAATATTCATCTACTGGTTCATTCCCTAGTGACTACAACAACCAAAGGCCAGGAGCCTGGAGCTGTATCAGGGTCTCCCATGGAAGTGGCAGGGGCCCTAGCACTTGGGCCAGCTTCCACTCTTTTTCCAGGAAAAGATAGAGAAATTAGAAATGGAGCAGCTGGGATTTGAACCATGCTCCAATATGACATGCTGGCATTTTAGCAGCCTAGCTTGCTGTGCAACATTAACACCTATTTGAGTGTTTATATAGGATTCATCAAGATACAGCATCAACTGCTCCACTCCCAATCTAGCTCCCTGTTTAATGTGCCTGGGAAAATACTGGAGGATGCCTCTAGTACTTGGGACCCTGTCCCCACATGGGAGACCCAGTTCCTGGCTTCTGCCTGGACCAGCCCCGGGCATGGCAGCCAAGTGGGGAGTAAACCAGCAGATAGAAAACCTCCCCTGCCATTCTCTCTCCCGCTCTCTCTTTAACTCTGTGTTTCAAAGAAATAAAATGAATAGTTAATAAACAAGACTCATCAGGCTGTTTGTGATTCTTTGAAAAACAAAATTAATAGCCACAAGCAATGCCAGGGTGATTTTCAGCTCTTCAGAATGTATTTACCCTGTTTTCCTATACTTCTTTTTTAAAAAAGGATTTATTTTTTATTATTTTTATTTGGAAAGTCAGCTATACAGAGGAGGAAAGACAGAGAGGAAGATCATCTGTCTGTTGATTTGTTCCTCAAGTGGCCTCAATGGCTGGAGCTGCGCCCATCCAAAGCCAGGAGCCCCTCTTCCGGGTCTCCCACATGGCTAGCAGGGTCCCAAGGCCTTGGGCCGTCCTCGATTGCTTTCCTAGGCCACAGGCAGGGAGCTGGATGGGAAGCGTGGCTGCCAGGATTAGAACTGGCACCCATATGGGATCCCGGTATGTGCAAGGTGAGGATTTTAGCTGCTAGGCTACTGTGCCAGGCCCTTCCCATACTTCTTACTTTGTCTTTTCTCCTGTAAAATCCTCAGCAGACATGAGCACTGGGGGTAGAGATGGGATAATTAGTCTTAACTCTCATGGACCTTCTCACCATGAATTTCGGAAACTGAAGGAAATATCTACAAAATGTAATAATGGCAATTATTCTAGTTATAGAACACATTTTGTGTTGTCTTACTATATTTTACATTGCTTTCATTTATATAAAAAAAGAAAGAATAAGTATATCCTTCTTATACTTTGGAGTTGGTATGTAGAGTAAAACTTATTTCGAAAACCACACATTATTGTTGGAGAGGTTCTGCTTAGCATTCCCAGGGGCGGGGGGGCAAATACTAATCCTAGTAACAAGGTATGGATCACATTTCCAGAAAAAGGAATAAAGTAGCACAACCAGAAAGCTTTAAAAGGGTGACACACACGTTTGAAAACTCATGTTTTCTATCCAACTTAAAACTCTCTGAACCACAGACAAAACAACCTAAATTATAAAAAGACTGTGTGTTAAAACAGAATCGGTCTGTTTGCAAGGCAGAAGGACAGACAGGCAGAGAAACGCAGTCTTCCCTGCAAATGGTTCTTTCTCCAAATGCCTGCCGTGGCTGGGGCAGAGCTGGGCTGCAGCCAGGAGCTGAGGACCCCTCTGGGTCTGTCTGCACGCACCTAACCTGGGCTAAGATCACAGGGCATCCGTCCCTACCCTGGACAACCAAGGGTGCATTTACTATGTTAACCAGCCTTGTTTGCAGTCAGGGAAGAACCCCTGGTGCATGATGGATATGGTGGAAGCAGCAGTTTGACCTTGTTCCTCTCTCTATATGTTCCCATCATCACTAGACATTACAACAGCCCCAACTTACAGCACTTCAAATCAGCTTTGGAAATGTGCTTCTTCTGGCATAAGCCAAAGCACAGACTGTGACCATGGGAGATTCAGTTACCCATGATCCCTGAAAAGCACAAGTTTCCTGAACAGACAATTTGATCCTTAGATGTTGGCTTCCGTTTCCAATGCAATTAATTTCCTTTCACTGTGTCTGAGCGCCGAGTCGCTTAGGAGGGGGAGGCGACCCGGTAAAAGGCTGGGGAAAAGAGCAGGAAGGAGTTTGCACCCTGGAGGACTCTAGTGGCTCCCAGTTCGGTGTGGGAAATGGCAGAGGGGAAATTCCAAGGTGGGCGATGGAAGAGAGGGCAAAGTTCGGAGAAGATTCTCTGAAGGATGCAGACTGTAATGAGGCAGCAACAGTCGCTTCAAGGGAAGTCACGGGTCGCAGCGCAGTCTGTCGCATTTCCAATCAGCACTTTGTGTTCCTTTTTTCTAGATCACCCTCATTCAGGACTGTAAAGACCCTCTTGAACTAATGGAAGCGGAGCTGGTTGAAGAAGAACTTGACGTCCAGGATGAGGTAGGATCACTACTTTCCCCTGTAGAGAACACTCTGAATTGAATCTTGGACAAGTGGAAGTGATTATGAACCTTTCAGGAGGCTAGTGTGGTGGCACAGAGTGGTGAGCCTTTCCCAATGACACAGACACCCCACGTGGGCCCCCGTGGGAGACCCAGCTGCTCTGCTTTTGATCTAGTTCCCTGTTACTGTGCCTGGGGAGCAGTGGAAGATGCCCAAGAGCTTGAGCTGTCATGCCATGTGGGCAGTGGGCCAGCAGATGGAAGATATCTTCTCCCTCCTCTGCTTTTCAAATAAATTAAAAAATAAATCTTGGGCCCGGGGTGGTAGCTTAACAGTTAAAGCTTTCGCCTTGCATGCACTGGGATCCCATTTGGGTGCCAGTTCGTGTTCTGGCTGCTTCACTCCCCATCCAGTTCTCTGCCTGTGGCCTGAGAAAGCAGTCAAGAATGGCCCAAAGCCTTGGGACCCTGCACCTGCATGGGAGATCCAGAGAGGGCTCCTGGATCCTAGTTTTGGTTTGGCTCAGCTCTGGCCATTGTGGCTGCTTCCTCTCCGTCTCTCCTCCTCTCTGTAATCCTCACTTTCCAATAAAAATAAAATAAAGCTTTAAAAAAAGATAACATTTAGGGAGAATTCCAAAACTGCACTAAAAGAAAGATTTCATAGGAGGGAAAACTGAGAATTCTCCCTCAGAAACATTATGTACTTGGGGGACATATTATCTCAGATAATGGGATGACCAGTGAGAGCAGCAGGTAGTACCCTGGGCCTGGTTTTGTGCCTAGGTTTCTGTACCTTTTTTATCCAGAAACATAAGGCCACAGGACAGGTCAAGGGTACACAGAGGGAATTATGGCACAAGAGTTATGTAAGTGTCAGAAATGGTATATGAAGAGCAAGACCCTATAATCTTTCTCCACCTGATAGATGATGGCTTTAAAAATATGCTGCCTGCACTGAGAACAATTTGGTGTATGACACATGCTCTTTTTTTTTTTAATTTATTTTATTTTTTATTGGAAAGGCGGATATACAGAGAGGAGAGACAGAGAGAAAGCTGGATGGGAAGCGGGGCCGCCGGGATTAGAACCGGCGCCCATATGGGATCCCGGGCGTGCAAGGCGAGGATGTTAAGCACTGCGCCATCACGCCAGGCCCCACATGCTCTTTTTTAAAAAAGATTTTTTTTTTTTTTCATGATAGGCACAGGGTGAGTCTTAGCAAACTTGACTCAATTTGTATTCTCTGAGTGGATTTTCTGGTTCTGCTGCTGAGTACCCTGGGAATAGTAAAGGAGATCACAGAACTTTGAAAGTTGAAAAATTCCTTGGAAGTCAAGGAGTCCAGCACCCCAGCCTGGGCAGGAATCCCACCTGTGCTATTCCCCTGCTCGCTTTTATGTTAACAGTTCTGGACACTGGTTACTTCTCCTTGTGACTTCTCCTTGTCTCCTGCTCTCTTTTTTAAAGATTTATTTATTTGAAAGGCAGAATTAGAGGAGGAGTGGCAAACAGTTTCTCTACCTGCCGGTGCGCTCCCCAAATGGCTGCAACCAGATAGGGCTGAGCCAGCAGTCTGCAACTGCAACCAGGTCTCCTGCATGGGTGCAGAGGCTCAAGGCTTTGGGCCATCTTGCCTTGCTTTCCCACATGTATTATCAGGGAGACAGATCAGAAATAGAGTAGCCAGGACTTGAACCGATGCCAATATGGGATACCAGTGATGACGGTGATGGTTTAGTCTGCTGTGCCACGACACTAGACACTGACCAGTGACCGCCTTGAGGGAGTCTGTCGCACAGACTTCTTTAGACTTCAGTTGTGTTTACAGAGTCGGGTTTGACCTTCTTCATAAGTCACACTGGTGAACAAGCATCAGCATGAATTTCACAGCAAACAAAACTTGTTCAAACCATGCTCCAAGCATAGCCAGTGCGTTTGCTTTCATTATAGCTACATCACAACGTGACTTCCAAATAAACAGGGGGTCAACTAAGGTTTGAGCATTATCCACAAACTGGGGTTTTAGATGGACTCCCCATTTATATTTATGCCTTTTACATTTTGAGTCCAATGCAAGACTTCCCATATTTCTACTAGATTGTGTCTTATTGGTTCCTGTTTATTGACAAAAGTTTGGGTCCTGAATTTATCATCTCCCCCTCCCACAGTGGTATCATAAGCTGAAAGTCACAGCCCTACAAGTTGGCCTACCAGCCTAGTGAGCTCAGGAGAGGCATCACTGAGCTCAGAAGTCCTCACAGCTTGAGTGGTTCCTGATTCTCTGTGTGTAGGGCAGCCACACTTGAATTAAAAAACTTAGCTACCCAAATTGGCGCTGCAGGAGCTGATGTGTTACAGGAATGTGACTGACACATGGAAGGAGCATCCAGGAAAGGTTCTGTATGGATGCCGAAGAAGCATGCTCGCCAGCCTCAAGGGCATGTGTGTGCCTTGGAACCAGGCTGGCCTGGCTGTGCTGATCCTGATGGCACTGTTCACCTGCCATGGAGCCCAGGGAAAACTTCTCTGTTTCTGCTTAAGTCTCCTCATGTCAAATCGGAATAGTGATACTATAGCGTTGGTGCAATGAAGGGATGTAAGTAAAGTAGGAACACAATGCCCTTACATGGTAAGTGTTCAGTAATTAAAATAAACCCAAGTGAAGCGTGAAGAGGTATACAATTAGGTTTTTACCCTGCCTCTTTTGTGATGAGGTCCACCTAAGATGGGTAAACGCAAGCCAGGGATACTAGAAAAAATTCTTTGTAAAAAGGGAATGAGGACTTGGGAAACTTCGGTTCCATCACTATTTGGTTTCTCTTTAACTTCTACAGGCTATTCGCAGACTTGCTTCCTGAGGGCAGGACCAGAAGGACCATCAGCAAGCACTGCAAGACGGGGCTCACCTGCCAATGCCAGGCTATGCCAGCATTTCTGCCTTGACTATTTCTTTGGACCGGAAACACTCATCCTTTTCTATTACATTTTTTTTTAAATTAATGTGTTTTTTGGAGCTCAGCTATCGAAAAAGAGGCATCTATGCTTGTTTCTTAGGCTTCCTTTATAAAACGAACAGCATATCTCTAAAATATGTAAAATGACTGAAGAGAAATTATCCAGCCAGGAAATGATGTCCAGGACCCACTGACAGTCGTAATAAGGTGGCTGGTGACCCTGGACAGATTTACTAACACTGTTCACATGGGTACTGATGGTTTTCTGTGGAGTTGGAATAAGGGCTGAGCCAACGGCCTCTGTGGCCAGGTGAGTCAGGAGTGATGACCCACTGACCTTGATGTCCATGAGCTGCACTGATGCCAGAGCAATATCACACTCCAGAAATTGTGAAATATAATCATTAATGCATTTATTTATTGTTAAAAGTCTTCAAAAATCACTTCTGGGAGTTAGGTTGAAGTTTCTCGAATGCTCATTTATCCAGTGCTTAGTAATGAGGTGCTATTCTACATAACCAAATAAATATTCAGAATTTAGGGTCTTGTTGAGCCTAGAAATGGTTCACCTGTGTGAAGGAACCAAGCTGATACATGCTAAGAACATGGAGGCAGAGAAAGAAAATGATAAAGGTATTTTCATGGACATCACTTATGAGTATGATAATCCTGGATCACCATGAAGATCCAAGACAATTTGTGGCAGATTGTTCTAACTTAAAAATGCAGTTTTAATTTATTCTCATCTACAGAAATGACCCATGTACCAAGGTATATAAAGATTCAATGTAAAAAACCAACATGGGAACTATGGTACATTTAGCAAGACAGAAATTATGTTTATAAGACCATGGTATTTAACATGAGTTAATATTTTATATAAAATTTTAGCAATATGTAAAGTAAGTACTCCTTAACTGAATTCTGACGGTTTCAAAATCAATCTAAAAAGCAAAGTGCCTATATAAGCTTTATTTAAAATGAGTTTTTAAAGAGGAAGCAGAATGGCTTGAAAAATATACATTGGGAAATGTATTTTTTAAACCTATATTCTGGACTCAGTGCGGTAGCCTAGTGGCTAAAGTCCTCACCTTACATGCACTGGGATCCCATATGGACACCGGTTCTAATCCTGGTGGCCACACTTCCCATCCAGCTCCCTGCCTATGGCCTGGGAAAACAGTTGAGGATGGCCCAAAGCCTTGGGACTCTGCACCTGTGCAGGAGACCTGGAGGAGGCTCCTGGCTCTGGATTGGCTCAGCTCCGGCCATTGTGGCCACTTGGGGAGTGAATGAACAGATGGAAAATCTTCCTCTGTCTCTCCTTTCTGTATATCTGAGATGTACAGATTTCAAATAAAAATAAAATAAATCTATAAATAAATAAACCCATATTATAACACAGAAGATTTTATATATATTATGTATCACCCAAAATCGTTGGCACTCAGAAGAGATTAAACATATATGTTAAATATATATCTCTTCTGAGTGCCAACGATTTTGGTGTTATATACAGGTTTTGGTCTCTGGCACCATTACTATATATTTCATTCTGCTGTGAATGAAGTTGTACTTCTTTTTTAGAGAAAAAAATAATAAAGTTGTACTTTATTTCTAGAGAAAAAAAAAAGATGATCAAAAACCCGTAAGTCCTCAGTGGAAACAAGGTCTTGATTGAGAATTAAACCAACACACTTGGAAAGAAATGAAAAGATGACGTGCATATTTTTCCATGCACCGTTTGAGGACCTCTTGGCACATGTGTGCAACGTGTTTCCCAAGGCAAAGGGCAGCATCTCCCTTCTGTTTTCCTTCTTAACATACAGTCGCATGTGCTGTGTCTACTTCTGCGGGAATATGAGCATATTAAATAGATTCTACATCTGGCCACAGCATCACCTGGATTATAATGCTATCTCATTTTCATAGTTTTAACTATTCATCATGGCAATAAGGCCTTTCTTTAAAGAGTGACTGTAATAGTGTCGGGGAAAGTAGATGGAAGCCTTTGTTCGACAGAGGAAATAGCGCTGTTCACTTTTTTAAAGAAAATACCAAAGTTACATTTTACAGTAAGGCTGGAGTTTTGTTCATACTTTGCGCCCATTTCCTAACATCTAGGACCAGCGTCTGACTTGTCTCCCCAGTACAGTCTAGGAGTCGAGTCTTTTCTAAGCATTTTGTGACTACTAAGCATGCTTCTGATTCTGTGTTTTCCATTGAAGTTTTACTTGACATTAAAGCTATCTGTTGTTCTATGTTTAACGTATATGTAACATGATTCTGGTTTGTGTAAGGGTTTCAATGAAAAGATCAAATCATGCACACGTAGAAATATTTGCACATTTTAAAGATAAATGTGATGTTCTTTTTAAACTACTCAAGTGTATCCTTTCTGAACAAAACGATTAAATTTAACAAAAATACTACATTCCAAGTTTGCGGTTACTCAGTCATGATGTATTGCTTTCAGTTCCACTTTCATTTGTAATTTATTTTTGTAGGCTTATCAATGCAATAAACATTACTCACCAATGCCTCTCATTTAAATGTGATATTGTAGTAGAATATTTCCAGCTTATTTTTGTGCAAGAGTTATCATGATTTTTAGCAAACTTTTCATTTGGGTGCAGCCTACCTATAAAAAGAATGCAAGTCATGACGTACTGCTTGAAGACTTTCACAAGACAAATCCATCAGTGTATCCTCATCCCAGACCAACACAAAACTCTGCCCAGCACCTCAGCAGCCTCTTTAGTAACCGTCCCCCAGAAGTCCTGACTTCCAAAACCTGCTTTTTTGCAGATACATTTACATGGAATCACAAGATTGCTTCTTTTTTTTCTGTCTTGTGTCTGTTTCCATTCAAGTTCATTGTCACGAGACTCAGTCGTGTTACCACACATACCAAGAATTCACTCATCCCCCCTGAATTTACCAGCGCTCATCTGCTCATCCTAACCTGTGGATGTCTCTGCTCTTTCCAGCCTTGGACCTTTATGGGTCATGCTTCTTGAGAGCGCGTGTCTGAGGCACTCCTGTGTTCTAGAAATCCTGGGGCTTGGGGCTTTAGTCTTTTAAGAGTCAATGAAATGATGATTTCCCCATTTGCCACCAGGCTGGCCACCTGAAGGAAATTTATATTCAGTTAGAATAGGAAGCATCTGTCGTACAAACACATGTGATAGTGTAGCACAAGCTATGTGGACTTGATAGCAACCCTAGGAATTGTGTAAGAAAGCTAGATAATGGCACACAGCTAGAAAGAACTGCAGAGAAAGTGATGAGTGGAGAAGGAACGATAGACATCAGCCTTAGGGAGAGAAATAATGACAAGTGAGGTAAGAGAGACTAAAATACAGGGTGGAGGGAGAGATCGGGGAGACATCAACAAGGATAAATAGGAAAAAAAGAAAAAAAGGAGTTCAAATAGAGGACTGATTTCAACACTGTTGGCTCTTCTCAGGGCTCAGAAAGGTGAGCCACACCCCTTTCCCAGACACCATACTCCCCTGAATTCTTGGTCCTCCTTAACTGGCTCTGCTTCCTGCCTGTAATAGCCATCATCCAGTGTCCTCTATAATTCACTCACGCTATCAATTTTCTCTCCCTGCCTCCTCTCCTATGCTGTGGTTTCAGTTTCCCCTGGCCAGGGTTCTTTGTCTTCTTGGACACATCGCAAGCATGGGGCAGAGTGGGAGTCTCTCCTGGATGCTCAGACCTCTAGGCCCTGGAAGGCTCTCAAAGCCTCTAAACCCAGTTGGAATCTGCACACCACTTCACCTTTCCATTAGGAACATCTCTGGGCCTGCACATAGAGGGACTAATTTGGGGGGCAGACCTCCTAGCGTCAAGCCCCATTCCCAGTGCGCTCTTTTAGAGCAAGTGCTCCAGTGCTCTGAGCCACCTCCTCGCTTGTTTAAAACATTTTGTTTTGAAACAATTACAGACATTCAGGGATTTCCAGAGCAATGTGTGGCAAGTCTATGTGCCCATCACTCAGATTTGCCCAGTGTTAACACTTTGCATAACCACAGCACATTACAGCCAGAAGGTCAGCATGGTTACGGACCGCAAGGCTCATTTATATTTCAGCAGTCACACACACACACACACACACACACACACACACACCCCCAGAGTGCATGTAGTTCTATGCAATTTTATCTCACAAATAGTTGTATATACATATTACAATCCAGAAGCTTAATTATGCCATCAACAATGTTCTTTCAGAAGGCCCTTAAAAATAAAACTAAACAAAAACTGGCTGGCTTAGTGACGGAGCGGGTTCAAGTTCCAACTCCTCACTTCCCATCTGGCTCCCTGCTGATGCATCGGAAAAGCAGCGGAAGATGTCCCAGGTACCTGGGCACCCATAAAGGAAACCTGGCTCCTAGATTTGGTCTGTCCCAGCCCTGGCTGTTCCGACTATCTGGGGCAGTGAGTCAAGCAGATGGAAAATCTCTCCCTCTCCCTATGTAACTGTGCCTTTCAAATAAATAACTCTTCAAAAAAAAAATTGCAGATCTCCATATGCGGATCCACTTGTACCTATCACACCAGCCCCAGACTTAGAGATGAGAAAGAGCTTTCTGACCTGGAGGACACCTGCGATGCCACACTTCTGACGGCCAGGGTAGGTGAGTCACGGAGCACTCTTCCATAGCATTTGCTCCCAATGACTTCCGTAAGCCTCCAATGAAAACACACTCATCCTTGGTAAGTTCACAATTTCCTATCACTGTTCCAGATAAGCAGAAGCTGTGAGCCAAACAGGAGATGCACCTAAAAGTCTCTCTTGAGATGGGAAAGGATGTTACCAGACTCTGGCTAAACAGTGGGTAACGCAAGTTGGGGACTGACTGCAGTTCTCCTACGACCCCTGTGAACTAGACGACGTGGCTTGACACACCTGATGATGACTCTCGTCTCTGCACTTTTTTTTTTAAAAACAACTTTTATTTATTTTCATTCTATTAGAGAGAGAGAGAGATTTCCCATTTACTGGTTGGCTCCCCAAATGCCTGTAACAGACATGGCCGGGCCAAGCTGAAGCCAGGAGTCATCACCTTCTGACTTCCAAACAGTACATGAGCATGAAGCTGGGAAGCAGCACCAGGGACCTGAAGCAGCTCTCCAGGATGTGAGCAGCCCGAGCAGTGACTTAACTATTGTGTCAAATGTTCTTGCCCTTCCCCTTATCTCAGTATATGATCAGAGTGGTCCAGTCCACCCTCTTTTTTTTTTTTTTAATTGGAAAGTCAAATTTATCGAGAGGAGAAACAGAGAGAAAAATCTTCCATCTGCTGGTTCATTCCCCAAGTGGCCACAACAGCTAGAGCTGAGCTGATCCGAAACCAGGTCTCCCAT